CTGCTTGTCACATCCCATACCCTCTCAGAGTGCCATGGGGTTGTATAGTATGCATCATTAGATAATTGTTGCACACAGGGTGTCTGTGGCATCAGCAAGAGTCAAGCTTCTACTTTCTTCCTCCCAGCCTCTGTGGTAGATGGTCATCACCACATGTTTACATGGTGTGAGTGCCTGCCTGGTGTGGCGTGGGGCATGCGTACATGTGTGCTTAGGAAGCAGGCTCTCAGTGTGCAGAGTCCTTACTGACAATGGAGCCTTTCCCCGGGGTTTTGAGTGGCTCTCACTGGGCCTGCTGTGGATTCTGTGCTCCAAGTTCAGGTACAAACCCCCCAGGAACTCGTTTTCTCATACTTGCCTTATATCTGGCTCTGGCTCATTTTGGGGCCCTTTACAGCAGAGCTTACAATGCCCCGGCAGTGGAGGTTTTCATATTCCCTCTGACTCAGAGCCAACAGAGTAAGGCCTTTTGCAGGGCCCTGGTGAGCAGTCTCTGGGCTAGTGGTGGGTTGAAATGATTTCTCCATCAGTTCTGCCTACTGCCAGTCTTGACCACTTCCTTGATTGATACTAGACTCCATGTTTCTAAGAGAAGAGGTACAGGGCAAATGTTTAAAATAGGTGCTTAGACCAAAAAACACTCAGGAATCTGTTCTACAGTGTAAATGGTAACGTGTTACAAATTGATCTGTTCTCCAGGAAAAGATCTTGGGGGAGATTATAGATACCCATTTGAGTCTGTTTCTATGAATTAAAGAGGAATAATAGTGATACAAAGTCCTAAATTTTAAGTGATTATTTATCTTTGGGTAGTGAATATACAGGGGGTTCTTTTTAACTTTGAAAATAACTTTTCTGAGGCCGGCACTGTGGTGCAGCAAGTTAAGCAGCCTCCTGCAGTGCTGGAATCCCATATGGGGCACCAGTTCGGGTTTTGGCTGCTGCACTTCTGATCCAGCTCCCTGCTAATATGCCTGGGAAAGCAGCAAAAGATGGCACAAGTCTTTGGGCCCCTGCACTCACATTGGCTCCTGGCTTTGGATTTCCAGCTCTGGCCGTTTGGGGAGTGAACCAACAGATGGAAGACCTCTCAAATAAATAAATAAATCTTTTAAAAATTAATTAATTAAAAAATACTGGGATCAGCATTGTGGTGTAGCTGATTAAGCCGCCACCTAGAACACATCCCATTTGGGTGCCTGTTCAAGTACTGGCTGTTCCACTTCTAATCCAACTCCCTGCTAATGCACTTGGGAAAGCAGCAGAAGCTGGCCCAAGTGCTTAGGTCCCTGCTACTACCCATGTGGGAGACCCAGAAGAAACTCCTGGCTCCTGGCTTTGGCCTGGCACAGCCCCAGCCATTGTGACCATTTGGAGAGTGAACCAGTAGATGGAAGATCTTTCTGTCTCTTCCCTCTCTCTGTAACTCTGCCTTTCAAATAAATAAAAAATAAATCTTTAAAAAAATAAAATAATTTTATAGAGTGTGAGTACACTACAAGTAGCTGTAGTCTAGCTTCTCAGTGTGTTTGTACAAAATTTGATTTTTAGAAGCCAAGTTGTTTGCATTATTATAATTCTCCTGAACCTTGAGCTGTTGGTTGTTTGCCTTGGGCAAGTCAGACCTGAGTCAGCCTCATGGGAGGTGAGGCATTTTGGTTGTATCATTTGTGCTGAAAATTGTCTGAAGAAAAAGAGATATTTCTTTCTCATGTTCAGGTTTAGCCAGGAAAACCCCTTTTAAATTGAAACATTTTTATTTTTCTTCTATTTTTATCCTTGTCTTTTTCTTCCTCCCCCACAGTGCATACACATGAGCGGCAAATGAGAGACAGTTGCTAAGCTCACGCTGTGGCAGGGTGAACCAGATAGAGGGGAGAAGAGGATGAGTGAGTCAGGTAGCTTCCTAGTGCCTCCTGAGTTGGATTCACCTGTGTGACTTCATAACTAGCTCATTTTTGCTCTCATGAACACTTTTTTTCTCCCTAGGAAGTTAGTACAGATTTTGGCTCTAGTGCATGTGAGAAACCCAAATCTGTAGGCAAAAATAGACCTAGCCGCTGTGATACACACAAGACCCTGAGAGCTCGGCCTTTGTGTGTTCACCTCTTCCTGTTCCCACTGGGTAGAGGGCCAGAGGGCCACTGTACTCTTCTTGGGAAAGGTGGGTCATACCCATTTCCATAACCAACAAATAAACATTTAGTATTATGTGCAGGCTTCTGTTATTGCTTGCAGCAAGAGCAAATGCAGGGCCGTTGCCATGGCTCAATAGGCTAATCCTCCGCCTCGGGGCGCCGGATTCTGTCCTGGTTGCCCCTCTTCCAGGCCAGCTCTCTGCTGTGGCCCGGGAGTGCAGTGGAGGATGACCCAAGTGCTTGGGCCCTGCACCCCATGGGAGACCAGGAAAAGCACCTGGCTCCTGCCTTCGGTTCAGCGCAATGCACCAGCCGCGGCGGCCATTGGAGGGTGAACCAACGGCAAAAGGAAGACCTTTCTCTCTGTCTCTCTCTCTCACTGTCCACTCTGCCTGTCAAAAAAAAAAAAAAAAAAAGCAAATGCAGACAATGTCAATGTTTTATCTGCCCTTTGGAAGTTTGGCCCTTTGGAAGTCTTTCCAACTGGCCTACATTTTACTTTCCTGAAATATTAAAATTTGAAATGACTGGAAACTTTGATTTTAAAAGAGAAGCACTAGGGTTTCTTTCTACGTAGTGATCTGGGTATTGAAGTGTTACAATGTAGGAAGTAAACTCATTTCTAGAGAGAGAGGTCACTAGCACATGTATTGGTTTATGTTCGTTTGTCCCTTCCGCTGAGCTCTTGAGTACAAAAATAAAGTGGTAATAGGGGTGAGTGTTGAGCCTCCAGTTAAGATGCTCGCATCCTGTATCAGTGTCTGCACTTCACTCTCCCTCCATCGCCTGTTTCCTGCCCGGGCAGATCCTGGGAGATGGTGGTGATGGCTCTAGTGGCTGAGTTCTCAGTTGCCAACTTCAACCCCAGCCTGGCCCAGCGCTGTTGTGGCCATTTGAAGAGTGAACCAGTGGATAGGAACACTCTTTGTCTGCTTGTCTCTCTAATAAATCCCTAACAATTTGTAAAATAAGTGGCAATTAAAGTAGCTAGTACTAGGTTTAAGTGAAAATGAGTATTTTCTGTTCACAATATTTTATCAGTGTAAACTAGGAGACTAGTTCTTGAGAATCGCCCGTATGGGAACTTTCTAAGATGGAGATTCTCTACAACTACCTTTTCACTGCTCCCAAAAAAGACCGAAAATAAATTACTTCTAATCTTAGTTGTTGTGAGGTAGCAGGTTCATTGTAATTCCTTTTTTTATTTTTATTATTTGAAAGGTTGAGAGCAAGAGGCAGATCTTCCCATCCACTGGCTCACTCCCCAAAATGGCCACAACGGCTAGGGCTGGTCCAGGTGGAAGCCAGGAGCCTGGAACTCTGTCCGGGTCTCCCACATGAGTAGCAGGGCCCCAAGCACTTAGGCCATCTGGCCATCTTCTGCTGCATTCCCAGGCACATTAGCTGGAAGCTGGATTGGAAGCAAGAGCAGCCAGGACTCAAATCTGCTCCCTGAGAAGGGATGCCAGCTCACCTTTGGTGGCATAACTCCTTGCTGCAGGACCCTGGCCCCAGGAGGTGATTTTTTGTTTGTTTGTTTTTTGGCCTTGGGGTGTTTAACTGTACTTGCCTGCCTGTTACTTTGATATGCAAATTGAAGGTTACTTTTGTTTAGACCTTTAGGGTCTTTTGTTTATGATCCAGTTTAAACATTATAGCATAGTGTCTTGAAATTTTTAAAAGAAAATGTACGCCCAAGTCCTTGATGTAGGTACACTGCCAAAAAGTGGCCCTCCCTTTCTCCCTGTGCTCTCTGCAGTTATCTGCAACTTCTTCCTTGCCTTTCTGAGACCTGCTGCAGAACTAAACTCCACGCTTTGTGAACCAAAACCCAGACATAACCAGTCCTTGCAGTTCCTGCCATCTCTGGCACAGAAACCTTAGAAGCTGCTTTCTCCTACATTTTTACTGACTCAGTTGACTTGCCCTAAAGTTGATAACTTTCCTTTCCAGTTGCAATAAAAAGTATCTTAATTAAATTTTGTTTTATGTAAACTCTTTACTATTTCTAAGGTAAATTCCAAAGCAGAAGTTATGAAGTTTTTATGTAAATTTATTTAAGAGAGAGAGTGTATGCTCCTGTGTGCTGGTTCACTTCCAGATGCCCACAATGGCCAGGGCACCGGAACCAGGAGCTGGGAACTCACTCCAGGGCTCCCATATGGGTGGCAGAACCCACTCACTTAAGCCAGTCACTGCTACCTCCCATAATAGCCGGAAGTGGGAGTCAGGAGCCAGAGACAGATCACACTTGGGCACTGCAACATGGGATGTGGACATCCTTACCAGAAGCTTTTTTTTTTTTATTTTTATTTTTTATTTTTTGACAGGCAGAGTGGACAGTGAGAGAGAGAGAGACAGAGAGAAAGGTCTTCCTTTGCCGTTGGTTCACCCTCCAATGGCCGCCGCGGCCGGCGCGCTGCGGCCGGCGCACCGCGCTGATCCGATGGCAGGAGCCAGGAGCCAGGTGCTTTTCCTGGTCTCCCATGGGGTGCAGGGCCCAAGCACCTGGGCCATCCTCCACTGCACTCCCTGGCCACAGCAGAGGGCTGGCCTGGAAGAGGGGCAACCGGGACAGAATCCGGTGCCCCGACCGGGACTAGAACCCGGTGTGCCGGCGCCCCTAGGCGGAGGATTAGCCTAGTGAGCTGCGGCGCCGGCCCTTACCAGAAGCTTAACTGCTAAGCCAAATGCCTACAGTCCCCGGAAGGTACGAAGCTTTAACCGAGGTGTCAAAATCCATTCTTCATATAAAGTGTATTTGTTTGGGGCTCAAAGTGATAGAGACTCTCGAATCTCCTAGCCTTTCCCAATGAAGTCCCTGTTCCTATTTCAGTTTTCCTTTTTCTTTTCTCCTTGTAGTGGACATTTGGGAGCAACAAAAATAAGAAGAAAGGAAAAACCAGAAAAATAGAGAAGAAAGGAACCATGAAGAAACAAGCCAACAAGACTGCGTCCTCCGGCAGTTCAGATAAAGACAGTTCAGCTGAGAGCTCAGCCCCAGAGGAAGGTGAGCCGAGCAGGTGTGGGGAGAACAGGTGCCCGCATAGGGCCTCCTTCACTGTTGCCGTGAGAGCAGTGGGCCTCTGCCCTGGCCACGGGTCCTTCAAGAATCTAAATGAAGTGAGAAAAATGCTTGCAATGCTATACGATTGGTGCCTGTGGAACCATGAGAAAGTCCCTGTATTGTTTTTTTTTTATTTTTTTTTTCTTTTTAAGATTTATTTATTTATTTGAAAGGTAGAATTGTAGAGAGAGAGAGAGAATCTTCTGTCCGCTGGTTCACTCCCAAAATGACTGCAAAAATGGCCAGAGCTGTGCTGATCCGAAGCCAGGAGATTCTTTTTTTTTTTTTTTTTTTCATTTGACAGGCAGAGTTAGACAGTGAGAGAGACAGAAAGGTCCTCCCTCCGCTGGTTCACCCCCCAAAAGGCCACCACTGCCGGCATACTGCGCAGATCCGAAGCCAGGAGCCAGGCTCCCCATCCTGGTCTCCCATGTGGGTACAGGGGCCCAAGCACTTGGGCCATCCTCCAGTGCCCTTCTGGACCACAGCAGAGAGCTGGACTGGAAGAGGAGCAACCGGGATTAGAACCCAGAGCCCATATGGGATGCCGGCGTTGCAGGCGGAGGATTAACCAAGTGAGCCATGGCGCCAGCCCCCAGGAGCTTCTTCCAAGTGAGATCATTTAGGCCATCTTCTGCTGCTTTCCCAGGCACGATAAGAAGTGGAGCAGATGAGGCTCAAACCAGTGCCCATATGGGATGCTGGCACTGCAGATGGCGGCTTTACCACGGGACTGGCCTGCCCACCTCACCCCTCACCCCTCCACCCCATTAGTTTTGTCTCACTTCACCCTGAGTACCACCTTCTCCTTCACCTTTTGGCTGACTGATGGAGGAAATCCTTGACTCAAATACAAAAGTCAGTAGAAAATGTTCTTTTTCTGAAGCCAATTCCAAAATTTCTTAATAATACGAATCATAAGTGAACTTGTTCCAGGACTTGAATGATGAACTTTATATTTCCTTTAAAAAAATAATATGTACATAAAAACTGGCTTGTATGGAATAGACCAAGCCTGGTTTTAAGCATATGCCTGTGAATGTTGACTCAGATTGCAGTCCTTGTTAAATTGCTGATTTAACCTATTACTTCTGAGTATTCCCTCTTTTTCCACACTACCTTTTATCCTTTTTAGATCCTGTATCACTAGGAATTCACTTATTAGCTTAACAACTCATTAAAAACATTGTTTTTAAAATGCTGAGTAATATATGTATAAGAAATTATAGGGTCAGGAAAATCACCATTTTTAACCGTCATTGTAATAACTGATTTATAATTGATTTACTAAGAATCATCAATGATAGTTAAAACCACTGGTCAAGGGACCAGCCGCTGTTGCATAGTAGGCTAAGTCTCTGCCTTGCGGCACCAGTTTGAGACCTGACTGCTCCAGTTCTGGTCCAGCTCTCTGCTATAGCCTAGGAAAGCAGTAGAGGATGGCCCAAGTATTTGTGCCCCAGCACCCAGATGGGAGACCTGGAGGAAGCTCCTGGCTCCTGGCTTTGGATCCGTGCAGCTGGCTGTTGCGGCCATTTGGGGAGTGAACCAACAGATGGAAGACCTATCTTTCCCTCTCTCTGTCTGTAACTTTGACTCTCAAATAAATAACTAAAATAAAAAAAATTTGGGTGAGACTTTGTTACGGAACAAGATGTTTATAAATAAATTTCAAAACATCTTCCTATACATATGAAACTTTAAAGGGGGAAACAGGGAGCATCACCTGAGATGCGTAATCCCAGGTAATATCCACTCGTGCTGGGCTAAACAGACATGGGGCTCCTGATGTGCTTGCTTAGGCTTCTGCCAAGAGTTCATAACCTCAGTCATTTCTGATTGAAAAAGAAATTCCGAAGAAAATTAGAGGACATTTGGTAACCGTTGCTACTTAAAATAACTAAAAATAAATACCTAAAATTCAGTTTCTCAGTTGTACTAGCCACAGTTCAGTGTCTCAGTAGCCACATGTGGTACTACCATTCAGTAGAACATATTTTCATGACTGTCTCACAGAGTTCTTGTAGACCGTTTTGTGGACTTGTAGGTACTCTTCACAGCTTCAGTAGTGTGAAAGACAAGGCTGACCCAGATGAAGGCTTCTAGAGGTACATGGTGGCCCCCAAGCTGTCTGTGATCCTAGATGGGTTCCAGCTTTAGCTAGAAAGGACAGTGTTGGAACAGTTGGTGAAATTTAATATGGACTGCATATTAGATCATGCAATTGTGTCAGTGTTTAATTTTCTAAATTTGATAATTGTGTAATTGCTTATGTAAGAGGCTGTTCTCTGTAGAAATATTTAGAGAGGAAGGATCATGATCTCTGCAACTTTCAGTTGGGTAAGAGACATAATACAAATGCATTTGCACACTATTTTCTGGATGTAGATGGAATGAGAAAATAAGTTGACCCTGTTAATCATAGGTGGATCTGAGCAAAGAAAATGTGGGAGTCAAATTATTCCTCCAACTTTGTAGGTCTACAATTTTTTTTTCCAAAATAAAATAGGTGAGTTAAAAAGAACAAGCGAGGGGTAGCATTTAGGCTGCTGGTTAAGACACCAGTTGAGACTTCCGAATTGCACTCCACAGTGCCTGGGTTCGAGTCCCAGCTCCAGCTCCTGATTCCAGCTTCCTGCTAATGCAGACCCTGTTGCTGCCACCCACATGAGAAACCTGGATAGACTGCTGGCTCCGAGCTTCATCCAGCCCCCACTATTGCAGGCGTTTGGGCAGTGAACCAGTGGATGGGAGCTCTCTCTGTTTCTCAAATTTTTTTTTAAAGGACAAGCTCATTTCTAGCCCAGCTTAAGTTTCCGTAGGCTGTGTAAGCATTCACCTGAGGCAGAGCAGGGTGGCCCCCGGGGAGCTGGCCAGGTGCTGATGATGATCAGCGCTGGGGGTGCCTGTGGCCTTCGTCTTCTGTGGCGCGGTGTAATCTAGAGTTTGGGCCTTTGTTGCAGGTGAGGTGTCAGATTCTGACAGCAACAGCTCCTCTTCTAGTTCAGATTCAGACTCTTCCTCGGAAGATGAAGAGTTCCATGACGGCTATGGAGAGGACCTCATGGGAGATGAGGAAGACAGGGCCCGTCTGGAGCAGATGACAGAGAAAGAGAGAGAACAAGAACTGTTCAACCGCATAGAGAAGAGGGAGGTGTTGAAAAGAAGGTAAGGTTGCAGCTGCCCTGCCTGTCTGTTTATTTCTTGTCTCTCATTATACCCTCTCGCACTCACACCTGTCTTGTGCAGATGTTCTCTGGCTTACAGATTTTCTACTGCACAATTGAACAAAAGCCTACCCATATAGCCATTCTGTTTTCCAATTTTCAATACAGTGCGTGAGACATTCAACACTATTAAAAATAGATTTTTATTTGGTTTTGCTCTGATCATGTCTCAGGTGGCTAGGATAAGCTATGTGTGGTATATTTTATTTTTTGAAAGTCAGAGAGAATTCTTAACATTTGGTTCACTCCTCAAATGCCCACAATGGCAGGAGCTGGGTGAAGTGAAAACCAGGAGCCAGAAAATCAATTCAGGTCTCCCACATGGGTGGTAGGGATCCAAGTACTTGAACCATCACTGTTGCCTCCAGAGTGTGCATTAGCAGGAAGCTGGATTATTCAGTGCAGCTGGACTTGAACCCAGGTACTCCAAAATGGGATGTGGGCATCTCAAGCACTAAGCCAAACCCCACCCCGGAAATGTGATTGTTAACATACTGGAAAATAACTGCTGTGTTTACATTCAAGATCACATTTCTTGTTTACTCAGTGCCCTCCACTTCACTAGAACTCAATATTCATTTTTTTTTAAAGATTTATTTTATTTATTTGAAAGACAGTTACAGAGAGGTAGAGACAGAGAGAGATGTCTTCCATCTGCTGGTTCACTCTCCAGATGGTTGCAATGGCTGGAGCTGCGCTGATCCGAAGCCAGGAGCTTCTTTCGGGTCTCCCACATGGGTGCAGAGGTCCAAGGACTTGGGCCTTCTTCTACTGCTTTCCCAGGCCATAGCAGAGAGCTGGACTGGAAGAGGAGCAGCCGGGACTAGAAACGGCGCCCATATGGGATGCCAGTGCTTCAGCCAATGCTTTAACCCGCTGCATCACAGCGCAGGCCCCAAGAACTCAATATTCATAAAGTTTTGGTCATGAGATGTTAAGTTATATGTATAGGGGCCAGCACCGTGGCGCAGTAGGTTAATACTCCACCTGCAGTGCCAGCATCCCATATGGGTACCAGTTTGAGTCTCAGCTGCTCCTCTTCCAATCCAGCTCTCTGCTATGGCCTGGGAAAGCAATAGAAGATGGCCCAAGTCCTTGGGCCCCTGCACCCACGTGGGAGGTCCGGAAGAAGCTCCTGGTTCCTGGCTTCGGATTGGCGCAGCTCTGGCCATCGCGGCCATTTGGGGAGTGAACCAACGGAAGGAAGACCTTTCTCTCTGTCTCTCCCTCTCACTGTCTGTAATTCTACCTCTGAAATAAATAAATTCTTTAAAAAAAAAAAGTTACATGTATAATGTTCGCAACAGTCCTGGGAGGTTGGTTATACCCTGTTAGAGAAACGTAAACCTACAGACTAACTCCATGAAGGCAGAGACTTTGTGTTGTCTACTGCTCTATTTCTGGTTCCTGGAATGGTGGCTGACACATAGATGTGCACTAAATACTTGTGGAATAAGTGGAGGAAGAAACTTGCCCAAGGTTGTTTAACTGAGAGGTGATAGAGTGGATTTCAAACCAGGGGCCGTCTGACTCCAGCAAACACGTGGCAGTGTCACCCATGCCTCGGGTCCCTATGATTTCACCTATTCTGTAACACAGGCATCATAAGGAACATTCTCAGAATTACAGAGATCTGTTTGTGTCTTGATAAAGATCAGCACATGGTTTGATATCTGCTGAGCAACAGGTTGTGAGGCAGTCATGAGATGGCCTTGATTTTCAGGTATGAGCCCAGCAACTACTGAGAGCACTGGGGGAAGGCGTCAGCCTCCCTTCAGTATTTAAATGTACTTACAAGGTGCAGTGGAGTTTCTCACAGAAAGCTCAGGTGTTGACGAACTCCTTTCCCCTGCTAATTTCCTTCTTATAACAGAAACTAGTCTTTCCCTCTATTTTTCATTGTTAACTTAAAAACCAAATATCTTTAAACCAGATTTGAAATCAAGAAAAAACTAAAAACAGCCAAAAAGAAAGAAAAGAAAGAAAAAAAGAAAAAACAAGAAGAGGAGCAGGAAAAGAAAAAGCTGACACAGATTCAGGAATCTCAGGTAGGACCTGAAAAAGTTCTTATTATCCACAGAGTGAGCCTGATTTGAGAGAGAGAGTGTGTGTCTGTGTGTGTGCGTGTGTGTGAGAAAGAGTGAGAGAGGTTGGGTACTTTAAAAGTTCGTGGAAAATGCAATTAAAAGTTGAGTTTCTTTGGGTGAAACACAGTTGCAATCCATCCCTAGTTTGTTTTTTTTTTATAATACACCTTTTCCATGAACTTTCTAAAGCTCCCATATGTACATGGGTTTTAGTTTTTTTTTTGTTTCAATTCCTTTTTTTTTTTTTTTTTTTTTTTTTTTGACAGGCAGAGTGGACAGTGAGAGAGAGAGACAGAGAGAAAGGTCTTCCTTTTGCCGTTGGTTCACCCTCCAATGGCCGCCGCGCTGCGGCCGGCGCACCGCGCTGATCCGATGGCAGGAGCCAGGAGCCAGGTGCTTTTCCTGGTGTCCCATGGGGTGCAGGGCCCAAGCACCCGGGCCATCCTCCACTGCACTCCCTGGCCACAGCAGAGAGCTGGCCTGGTCAATTCCTTTTTTTGTTGGAATTTCTTTTTCCCACACTTTTTGAAGTCCCCTTGTATGAATCAGCTAGGTTAATTAATGCAAACCTGTATGTCACCTGCACCCTGTGGATAAACTGCTTAGGTCTGCTTCACTCGGGGTCTGCATTCAAAAAGCAGCCCTGCAGGGAACGTTGGTAAACACCCTAGCCTGGAAGTCACACTGTGATGATTTCACACATGTGTCAGCCTAGACTTTGTGCAGATGTGGCTGGGGAAGATTTTCAGCTATGCATTAATTATAAAATGATCTATTGACAATATCAACAAATACTAGCTTTGATGTAGTGTGATCTTCCAGAATTTTTTCGGATAGTTTTAAATTTGCTATTTGTAGGCCGGCGCCGCGGCTCAATAGGCTAATCCTCCACCTAGCGGCACCAGCACATCGGGTTCTAGTCCCAGTTGGGGCGCTGGATTCTGTCCCGGTTGCCCCTCTTCCAGGCCAGCTCTCTGCTGTGGCCCGGGAAGGCAGTAGAGGATGGCCCAAGTGCTTGGGCCCTGCACCCCATGGGAGACCAGGAGGAAGCACCTGGCTCCTGCCATAGGATCAGCGCGGTGCGCCAGCCGCAGCACGCCGGCCACGGCGGCCATTGGAGGGTGAACCAACGACAAAGGAAGACCTTTCTCTCTGTCTCTCTCTCTCTCTCACTGTCCACTCTGCCTGTTAAAAAAAAAAAAAAAGAAAAATTTGCTATTTGTTAGGCAAGATGGGGGCTGACTGTCTGCTCTATCTATGACCACAAGAGGGCGCTCTCTCCCTCACACAAGCTGACGGTCTGCCATCAGGGTGGATTGACAGGGAATGCATGGATTGTCCGGGTGGAGAATCTGACCATCAGCTGTTGGTAATAAAGTCCTGCCCTTACTGCCTTTGCCAGGTAACATCCCACAACAAGGAACGGCGTTCCAAACGGGATGAGAAACTAGACAAGAAATCTCAAGCCATGGAGGAGCTGAAAGCCGAGCGGGAAAAACGGAAGAACAGAACAGGTAGGTGGTGAAGAAGTAATGTTTACTTTGTGTCTTTGATCATATTAGTTGACTTCCTACTACCCATTTTTATTTTCCCCTTTATCATCAACCATTCCAGACATACACTGAGATAGTCTAATAATCCTCCGTGAACCCACCGTCCAGTCTCCGCAGTCAGCTCCAGGCCACTGTTGTTAGATCTGTGTTCTTCTGTAACATCAGATTGTTTTGAAGTTAATCTTTGCATCATTTTGTTTCAGCTATCAATATTTTAGTACGTGTCTGTAAAGACAGCACAGGGCAGGGGTTTGGCACTGTGTTTGAGACGCTGCCTGGGATGCCTGTGTGTCACATTGCAGACCCTGGGTCTGAGTCCTGGTATACCCTGATGCCAGCTTCTGGGTAATGTACAGCCTGGGAGATAACAGGTGATGGCCTAGGTACTTAGGTCTCCACACCCATATGGGAGACCCATCTGGAGTTCCAGGCTCCTGACTTTGGCCTGGCCCAACCCTAGCTGTTGTGGGCTTTTAAATAGTAAACCAGTGGATGGAAGATATTTTCTCTCTCTCTCTCTCCCTCTGTGTGTGTATCTCTCTCTTTCTGCCTTTCAAGTAAATAAAAAAAAAAAGGTAAATAAAGAAAACTTTCTTTTTGGGGGGTTTCCCACAAGGGTGACAGGGACCCAAGTACTGGACCATTATCCACTGCTTCCAATGCACATTAGCAGGAAGCTAGATCAGAAGTGAAGTAATCAGGACTTAAACCACCACTCCAATATGAGCTGTGGGTATCCTAAGGAGCAGCTTAACCTGCTGCACCATAGGCCTGCCCAATAATAAAACTTTTTTTTTTTTTTTAAGATTTATTTATTTTATTTGAAAGTCAGAGTTACACAGAGAGAAGGAGAGGAAGAGAGAGAGAGAGGTCTTCCATCTACTGGTTCACTCCCCAGTTGGCCACAATGGTAGGAGCTGTGCCGATTCGAAGCCAGGAGCCAGGAACTTCTTCCAGGTCTCCCACGTTGGTGCAGGGGCCCAAGAACTTGGGCCATCTTCTACTGCTTTCCCAGGCCATAGGAGAGAGCTGGATGGGAAGTGGAGCAGCTGGGACTCAAACCGGGCTACCAGCACTGTAGGCGGTGGCTTTACCTGTTACGCCACAGGTAAAGATCAGTAAAATAAGAAGAGCTCTTGTTTTAAACCCAGCTGATACCATATTCACACCTAAATAATAGCAACAGTGAATCCCGTAGTATCAGATACCTAATCAGTGTGCAAATGCCTCTATTTTTCTTAAAATTTGAAACATAACCATTTGATTGTTCAGCTCAGGCTCTTCAGTAAGTGCACACGGGATTGTTAGTGTGTCCCCTGGGTCACTTAAGCTGCAGTGGCCCTCCCCACCTTGTCCTGAAGCGGACGTGCTGCAGGAGCCGAGTCGTCTCTCTTGCAGTTTCTCACCAATACTGGCGCATCCCTTTGGTGTTGACTGTGTCCCTCTAGTCCCTTGAATGGATTGTAAATTGGTAGTTAAAGCCAGAGCAGTGGTCAGATTGGGTTTGTTTTGTTTGTTGCTTGTTTTGTGGGGGAAGGCCACTTTCTAGGTATTGGTGTGTGTCTTTCCATCAGGAGATATGCAACATCTGATTGGCACATCGTTTTGTGGTGTTGCCAGCTCTGTCGGTGATCTTGTGCCACAGTGACCCCTGTTTCCACTGCTGCACCTGCGGTTCAGGCTGGGGTCGCCTAATTGTAAGCGGCAGGTTAAGGGCAGGGCTGTTCTCCCTGTCCCTCTTCCTGCTTCCTGTGGTGATGGCAGAAGTGGCACTGAGACCAGCAGACACACACAGTGCCTTTTAAGGCCTAGGTTTGGAACTGGCAGTGTCACCGTGGGGTCAGCAGGAACTTACCGACTACATGGCCAAAGCCTTGGGTGCCTGGAGGGCTTAGGGATGGGGGACAGTGGCGTGGTCTGAGCACTTAATTCACCAGGAGTGACACAGTGGTGCTTTTCTAATTCTGTCTCTCTCTCTCTTATCCAGTCTGCTTCTAAAGACACCCTTCTCAGCAGCTATTTAGTTATCCTCAGATACACTTTGAATAGGAGAGGCAGGTAAAATGCTTGTTTTATTTTCCTCTTAATTGACCAGTTTTCAAAAGAGTCTGTAGCTCCTTAGGAACTACCAGAGACCATCACCAAGGTTCGTTGGTTTCAGGTATCTGAATCGTGGGTTGACTGCTGCAGCTGTTGCACTTCCCTTTTATACAGACCCCAGTCCTTCATCGTTGCCTTGCTCTCCAGACATGCTATCAACCATTTCTCTAAGGAGCTCTGGTTGCTTTTTCATTAGAAAAGTTAGCTTTTACCACAATGAAAGTTGGCCGTAAATTTGATACCACAGTTTACAACCCTGGAGTGCTCATGGTATTGGGTTGGCTACTGTTTCTAAGCCTTTTTAGTGTTTAGAACTAAGAATGATTTTTTTAACTTTTAAAATTATTTATGTACTTCAGAGGACCAGAGACACAGACAAAGAGAGCTCCTGTTACTAGTTTACTCCCCTGGTGCTCATAACAGCTGGGACTGGAGCCGTGCTGGGATTTGGAACTCAATCCTAGTCTCTCATTTGGGTGGCAGGGAACCCATTACTTGAGGCATCACTGCTGCCTCCCAGAGTTAGCAAAAAGCTGGAGTAAAGACCTGGAGTTGGGCATTGGACCCCGGTTCTCTGGTGTGGGACACCAGCATCTTCACTGTGAGGCCAGACACCCAGTGCTGTTACTTGTCTTGATGATGGTCATCCGAATGGCTGGGCCGTGGCATCTCATGGTCTCATGGTTTGATTTGCATTTTCCTAATGATTAGTGATGTTGAGCATCTTTTTATGTGTTTATTGGCCATTTCTGTATCTTGGAAGAAATGTCTGATCAAGTCCTTTGCCCATTTTTCAGGCTGGTTGTTGAGTTGCAGGAATTCTTGATATAGTCTGCATGTTAATCTCTTTACCAGATCTATGACTTGCAAATATTTTCCCATCTCAGGTTGCCTTTTCACTCTGTTGATAGTGTCCTCTGACACACATTAAGGAACTACGCTCTGAGGCCGGCGCCGCGGCTCAATAGGCTAATCCTCCACCTAGCGGCTCCGGCACACCGGGTTCTAGTCCCGGTCGGGGCGCCGGATTCTGTCCCGGTTGCCCCTCTTCCAGGCCAGCTCTCTGCTGTGGCCCAGGAAGGCAGTGGAGGATGGCCCAAGTGCTTGGGCCCTGCACCCACATGGGAGACCAGGAGAAGCACTTGGCTCCTGCCTTCAGATCAGCACGGTGCACCGGCTGCAGTGCGCCAGCCGTGGCGGCCATTGGAGAGTGAACCAACGGCAAAAGGAAGACCTTTGTCTCTGTCTCTCTCTCTCTCACTATCCACTCTGCCTGTCAAAAAAAAAAAAAAAAAAAAAAAAAAAAAAAAAAAAAAGAAAGAAAGAAAAGAAAGAAACTATACTCTACGTGTTTTTTCTTTTGTTGCCTGTGCTTTTAGTGTCATTCAAGAACTCATTGCCAAGTGCAATGTCGTGAAGCTTTCTAAGAATTTTATAATTTAGCTCTCAAATGTGGGGCTTTGAGTTACCTTCTGTATGCGGTGTAAGGTAAAGACCTACCTTCATTTTTTCCATATGGATAGCCAATAGCCAGTTTTCCCAGCACCATTTGTCGAACACTGTTGCTTGCCCATGAATGGTGTGCACCCTTGCCAGAAAATCAGTTGACCATATTGCAAGGTCCTATTTCTGGGCTCTATTCTCTCCCTTTATATTTTTCTTTAAAGTGACATTGTATTTATTTATTTGAAAGAGGAGGTGACAGAGAGAGAGAGAGAGATCTGCCATCTGCTGGTTCACTCCCCAAATGGCTATAGGGCTCTGTTCTCTTCCTTTATATTTGTCTTTTAAGTGACATTGTCTTTATTTATTTATTTATTTGAAAGATGAAATGACAGAGAGATAGATCTACCATCTACTGGTTCACTCCCCAAATGGCCATAACAGCCAAGGCTAGGCCAGGCCAAAGCCAGAAATCAGGAGCTCCATCTGGGTCTTCCACGTGAGTGGCAGGACCCATGTACTTGGCGTCTTCTCCTGCCTCTCATGTGCATTAACAGAGAGTGGAATCGGAAGCACATGGGGTAGCAGTCCAGTATGGAACATGGGAACCCAAGCAGCAGCTTCACCCACTGTGACACAAACTGGTTAAAAGTCACTTACTTGCAGGGCTGGCAGTGTGGCACAGTGAGTTAAACCCCACCTGTGATGCATTAGCAGGGAGCTGGGTTGGCAACAGAGCAGCCAGGACTGCAGCAGGTGTCCGAATGGGACGCCAGCATTGCAGGTGACGGCTTACCTCGCTGCACTGCAGCAGCGGCCCCGCCCGTCAGCCTCCATGTGGAGCAGCAGCAGGTTTCTGTCGGTACAGTGTCCCTGGAGCACAGCACCACCCATTTGTGTATATGTTGTCTGCTTTCTAGCCAGAGCTGGGAGGTTGAGTAGTTGAGACAGTGACCGCTTTATCTCAACCTTTAGCACACTTTTTCTGGCTGAAGATGCGATGGCTGTCCTTCTTATAGCTGTGTAGCAGTCCGTTGGGTGGACCTACCGTAAGTGATTCAGCCACTTTCCTGTTTGTGGATACTTCAGTTGTTTTCACATCTGCTAGTACAAATAATGCCACAAAATCAAAACACAGTTTTCTCAAAACCTCTCAGAAGATAGGAGCTTTTCCTCTGGGTGAATTCCCTCCTAAAAACAGCCCAGTTGTCACTGGGCAGTCCAGAGAAGACAGAGCTCTTCATTTGAGTCTTCTACCACGTTCCGGGTCTTCTTCAGGGATGAAAGATGGTTCCATTCTTGTTGAGAACCTGGGTAAACATTGTCCCTTTCTTTCCAGCTGAGCTCCTCGCCAAAAAACAGCCATTAAAGACGAGCGAGGTCTACTCTGATGATGAGGAGGAGGAAGAGGATGACAAGTCCAGTGAGAAGTCAGACCGCTCGTCCCGAACGTCTTCATCTGATGAGGAAGAGGAGTAAGCTGCGTACATTTTGGTCCAGTGGGCTGGATGGGCGGGTTCAGCCGTGAACTCCAGCTTGCTTAGCGCCATCAGTTGCTGAGCCGAGCTTCCCAGGATGCCCGCCATTGGTTTCGTAGGCCTCCTGCATCCTGGGCCTGGCAGGTGGCCGTCGACCGCCCGTCACTTCATGTTGGCCTGGAGCTTCCGTAGGCGTTACTGCTCTGGTCAGCTGTCTGGGATGGCTGCCTCATTCTAGATAACTCGCACGACTGGTTGGGAATGGATTTGCTGTGGTTCTTCCCTAGGGCTTCATTCATTCCTCCTCCAAGGTGAACCGTAGCTACTTTAGTTGAAGCTCTGAGCTGCTGGTGCTGTCCATCTGTCTCATTCTGTTTTTATCATGAACACTTTGCCCACCACCCCTTTGTTCCTCGCAGGAAAGAAGAAATCCCTCCAAAATCACAGCCAGTCTCCTTACCCGAGGAGTTGAATCGGGTTCGGTTATCACGGCATAAGCTGGAGCGTTGGTGTCACATGCCCTTCTTTGCTAAGACTGTCACGGGGTGTTTTGTACGGATTGGCATTGGAAACCACAACAGCAAGCCAGTGTACCGGGTTGGTATTTCTTTATGGCACAATGGACCATGTCTTCTCAGCTGGGGCAGGAGCTGCTGAACAAACCTGTCACTCTTCTGCCATCATTGTCTAGAAAACAGGCCACAGGGGCGCTGCCTGAGAACAGGGAGCAGTGCTGGCACGGGCGGCTTGCGCCCCCTATCTGTGAAAGGGAGAAGGGAGACCTGGTGAAGTATGTGTGGGCAGTTAGGCAACATGCATTTGAACAATAAGTGAGTGAGAAATTTCCCTGTGATGTGCAGTGACTCCGAGTGCGGGGAGTTATATCGAGGTTAACAACTACAGAAATACACAAAAAGCAACAGCCTAATGCACTGCTGTGATCTAACTAAATATGGCTTTTTTGTTTTTGTTTTTTTGTGTTTTTTTTGCTTTTAAAAAAATATTTTGTATTTGTTTTGTTTCAGTCTATCTGTTTTTTGTTTTGTTTAAAAATTTATTTATTTGAAAGCCAGAGTTACAGAGTATAAGGTCTTCCATCCACTGGTTCACTCCCCTAAATGACAACGGACAGGGCTGGGCCAGGTGGAAGCCAGGAGCCCAGAGCTTCTCCCAGGTCTCCTATGTGGTTGGCAGGAGCCCAAGCACTTGGACCATCTTCTACTGCTTTCCCAGGCCATTAGCAGGAGGGAGCTGGATCTGAAGTGGAGTAGGGACCAGCACTGTGGTGTAGCAGATAAAGCTACCACCTGCAGTGCCAGCATCCCAAAATTGGCGCTGGTTGGAGTCCTGGCTGCTCCACTTTCTGATTCAGCTCTTTGCTATGGCCTAGGAAAGCAGTAGACGATGGGCCAAGGGTCCCCACACCCAGGTAGGAGACCTGGAAGAAGCTCCAAGCTCCTGGCTTTGGATTGGCCCAGCCCTGGCCATTGCAGCCATTGGGGGAGTGAACCAATGGATGGAAGACCTCTCTTTCTCTCTCCCTCTCCTTCCCTCCTCTCCCCCCCACTGCCTCTGCCTCTGCCTCCCTGTAACTCTGCCCTTCAAATAAATAAATAAATCTTTAAAAAAAAAAAAAAAGAAGAAGAAGAAGAAGAAACGGAGCAGCCAGGGCAAGAACCGGCACCCATATGGAGTGCTGGTGTCATAGGCAGCAGCTTTATCTGCTAACGCCACAGTGGCAGCTCCTGGGTTGTCTGCTTTTAATGAGTGTGAGGGCAACATCCCAGCAAGCTGGGTGGCACACACTGGCCTCCATGGTCTTCACGTTTGGTTGAGCAGAGTTCACCCCTGAAATCCTGAGTGCTCCTCCCGTAAGGTGTAGTTAGTGGAAGGGAAAGCAGCTGTGTCCTCTGAATCCTAAACCTGAAAGGTGCCCAGAACCCCTGGCAGCCCTGCATGCCTCTGGGCACAAGGTTGTTCATCCGGGCTCAGACAGGTGCACAACAATGACCAAAGGAAGAATGGTAGGGAAGGTGCTGGGAGAATTGGTCTGTAATGGGTCTCTCTGTCCTGTCGCTTAGGTTGCTGAGATCACGGGTGTCGTGGAAACTGCCAAAGTTTACCAGTTGGGTGGCACCAGAACAAACAAAGGGCTACAACTCCGGTAAGAGGCCCCTCGGGGACAGCCTGGGCCCCCACTTTTGGCACGCACTGCCTGCAGGGCCGCCCCCCTCTCCCGGCTCCCTGTCCTGTGTAGAGTCCTCTCTCGGAGGTGTCTGGTGTCCTGTCCTTGCCTGTGGGGAAAGTAGGACATTCTCTCCCCCAGGGAAGTCAAGTGCGTGAAGTGGTAGGACACACAAGCGTGGCGTCCGCAGTCAGCGTGGTCGCGAGGTTTGCTTCCGGTCCTAGCCCTGTCACTCCAAAACTTCATCCTTGACCTGTTGGGTCATGGCTCTGGACCTTGTGTTCTCTTCTTTTTTCTTTCCTTTTTTTTTTTTTTTTTTTTTTAAGTTCGTTCTTTCTTTCTTTGAAAGTCACCGAGAGAGAGTGGGAGAGATTTGGTCTCCCTGCTCTCTTCATCCCCATCTACCCTGGTCTGTTTAATGGGAGCCAGTCCCCGGTGGGGGTGGTCATGGCCAGCAGAGTTCCTAGGAGCATGGCACTGAGTCGCTGACCTTTGCCCCCACAGTGGTGGGAAGAACAGCATCTTCCTGTCTAGGGTGTAGTTTGCCTGTCATTCAGAGCCCTGCCTAATGCTGTCTGTTCCTGATGCTGGTGGGCCTGGATGGAGTTTATTGTAAGTTGACTTCCAAAGCGCTGCCTGGTCCATTTGGTTCCAACAGCAGCTGTGTGGTTCTCCATCCTGGTGGTGGCCCATTGCTACAGTTTTGATTTCACTGCCTGTTTCTCACTCTCAGAGATTCTGACCCAGTTGACCTAGGGTGGTGCTTGAGCATTAGAACATTTACAGATCTTCCTAGATGATTCCCAGGGGTTTGGGAAGCACAGAAAGAGGGTAGCGCAGGATCCGGTCAGGTTGCCTTGCTCGTCCTCAGAGATGCTGACTCTCTCTTACGTAGGCATGGCAATGACCAACGAGTGTTCCGCCTGGAGTTTGTCTCAAACCAAGAATTCACTGAAAGCGAATTCATGAAATGGAAGGAGGCGGTGAGTGGCTGGCGGTGACGAGCAGGTGTTCACGAGCCCTGGGGGCTTCTCCACAGCCCCTTGCTGATAACCATTTACTGCATTTTCTCCAGATGTTCTCTGCCGGCATGCAGTTGCCCACGCTAGATGAGATCAATAAAAAGGAATTATCTATTAAAGAAGCTCTTAATTATAAATTCAACGATCAGGACATTGAAGAGGTGAGAAACCTGGTCTCCCAGGGCCCGGGTTGATCCGGAACCTGTGTTCGGAAAAGAACGTGGTTTCCTTCTGCCCGTGTATCTTGGTATTTTTAGCTATGCATGAAGATGGGGGAGCACAGACGCTGTTGCCGGATTTCCTAGACTCCATCAGCTTTTCTCAGCGCGTTCTGTCTGCAGATGAGACCGCCTCAGCTCACGTGTCTTCCGGGTTCCGGGATCTATGCTCTGTTAGGCTTGGTCCGACAGTTCTGATCTGTTCTCCTGGCCGCTGGCTAGCCTTGCAGCGCCTGGCCCTCGGGCACACGCTCCCTCACGCTGCCCAGAGCAGCTGGGGGCCCCTGGCAGCAGCGTCCTGGCCCTCGGAGTGAGCACGCTCCCTCCCCGTGGGGTGCGGCACTGCTGTAGGAAGAGCAGCCCCTCCGCCAGCTGGTGGCCTCCGCAAGGGGCTCACTTAGCCGTGGGCAGAGTGCTTTAACAATTCCTCACCGTGGGTGTCTCCTCTCTGGCACAGATTGTTAAAGAGAAAGAAAGGTTCAGAAAAGCCCCACCCAACTATGCTATGAAGAAGACACAGCTGCTAAAGGAAAAGGTGAGGACCTGTGCTCAAGCCCCTGTCCCCGTCCCGTGAGGGGTGTGGAAGGCCCACTTCTCCCCTGCCAGTCGCCGGTGGCAGGATTGGCAGGGAGCTCTGGGCTCGGGCGTTCTCGGCCCTTCTCCTGTGTGTGCGTGGAAAGGGCCCCTTTTTGTCCCATCCACCTTTCTTTGTAGTTACATTAGCGCCACGTGGAATAAGGCAGACCCCAGGCCAGAATCCAGCACTGGGTCTGAGCCAACCAAAGGGATTGTGTGGCGCCACCATGGCAAATGCTTTTCCATTCTCATACCAGGAGGACAGGGCAAGCCTTGTGACGGGGCTTCAGCCATCTGGGGTCTAGGTTCTAAGGCTAAAGTTGGATATCACTGCACCGGGGGAAGTATTACGACTGTAATGAAAACCATACGTCGTATTTGTAAAATGCTGCTTCTGTTCTTTCACATTTCCTGTCATTGGTTGATTGCATGAGACTATCTTGTCTGCTAGAAGTCAGGGGCTGCTTCCTAGAGAGAGCTGGTCATCGCCAAGAGCTGACGCATCTCTCTGTCTCTGCAGGCCATGGCCGAGGACTTGGGGGACCAGGACAAGGCCAAACAAATCCAGGACCAGCTGAACGAGCTGGAGGAGCGAGCAGAGGCCTTGGACCGCCAGCGGACCAAGAACATCTCTGCTATCAGGTATGTAACAGCCTGCTCGGGTTGGGTCCCGGTCCGTGGCCCCCAGGTCTCGGGTAGAATTGTCCGGCAAGCCTGCGGCCGTGTGCACATTGTGCTGCCCCTGCTCCGCAGATCCCGGGACCAGGGCTCAGCGCTCCTTTCCTCCTCTACTGCCCGCTGACTCATCCTCTTCCCCCACAGCTACATCAACCAGCGCAACCGGGAGTGGAACATTGTGGAGTCTGAGAAGGCCCTGGTGGTAAGTACGATCCCTTTATCTGCATCACAGAAAAAAAAATTCTAATAGGCCGGTAGGAACTCTGTACATCTTGCCATATATGCCTTAGCATATATAACCTCTGTATGCATATGTACACACATGTACTTTCTTTCTTTCTGTAAATATCTATCTATTTGAAAAACAGAGGCAGAGATCTTCTATCTGCTGGTTCATTTCCTAAATGCCCACACAGCTGAGGTAGGGAGCCTGGAACTCTATCTGGGTCTCCCATGTGGGTGCAGGGACCCATGAACTTGGGCCATCACCTGCTGCCTCCCAGGGTGTGCATTAGCAGGGAGCCAGATTGATTGGAAGCCAAGCTGGGACTTCAGCGCAGGCACTGTGATGTAGGGGGTGGGGTCCCAAGACATTTCCTGACTACTATGCCACCACTGCCACCACTCCGAGTCTCTTAATTTATAATGAAAAGTCTTCTCTCCTGTCTTGCTCCTTCTCACCCTTAAATTCTACTCCACACGTATTATTTTTATCAATCTCTGGCTTTTGGTTGTTGCTTTGGTAATCCTTGAAGGGAAAAAGATGATAGAGACTGAGGTTGTGGCTCAGCGGATGAAGCTACCACCAGCATCCCATGTGGAGAGCTGCTCCTCTTCCAATCCAGCTCCCTGCTATGGTCTGGGAAAGCAGTAGATGGCCCAAGTGTTTGGGCCCCTGCACCCACGTGGGAGACCGGGAAGAAGTTCCTGCCTCCTGGCTTCAGACTGGCCTAGCTCCAGCCATTGTGGCCATTTAGGGAAGTGAACAAGTGGATGAAGATCTCTTTGTCTCTCCCTGTCTCACCCTCTCTCTGTCACTGTGCCTTTCAAATAAATGAAAAGATGAGAAACAGCTTTCGATTGTTTCCAGTTCCTTGCAAAGACTTATTTGTATGCAGGCCCACGGTGGGTGGGAGGAGGAGAAGCAGATGCAGTTCCGTAACGCTGCTCTCTGTCACAGGCTGAAAGTCACAACATGAAAAACCAGCAGATGGACCCCTTCACCAGGCGGCAGTGCAAACCTACCATCGTCTCCAACGTGAGTACCGAAGGAGGACATGCGGAGTTGGGACCTAGATTCTAGGACAGAAAGTGAATTCCATTAGGAAATTAATAAAGAAGTTAAAAATAATGTTTTCTTAGCTGGGATTTGCTCTCCTCAAGCTCTTGGGTCTGGACACTTCCTTTTTTATCTTGCTATAGGGCATATAGGCAGTGCAGGCCTGGCATGGATCTGTAAAAGCCTAGGGATTAACCCCTTGTGCTGAGGTCGGGTGAGAGTGCAGACATTAGCTCAGCCTGCGAATCCCTTCAAAATGCTTGGGACCAGGAATGCTTCAGATTTTTTCAGATTCAGAAGATATGCAAATTGACATAGACTTCGTGGCAATGAGACCCAAGTCTAAACAGAAGATTCATTTATCTTTCATAGTATACCTAACACATAGCCTGAAGGTAATCCTGTACAGTAGTTTCAGTATGCCTGTGTATACCTGTGACCCATGACATCAGGTCAGGTGTAGCATTTTCCACCTGTGGCATTATAGGAATGGCACTTGGCCTCATGGTTGGGATGCCTACATCCCATATCAGGGTCCGGGTTCAAGTCCCAACTGCATTCCCAATCCCAGCTTCTTTCTGGTGTGCACGTCAGGGTCAGAAGTGATGACTGAAGTAGACGGGTGTCTGCCACCCACTCAGGAGACCTGGGTTAAGTTCCGGCTCCCATCTGGGGAGCAAGACTGGTGGATATGAGCATCCCCCACCCCACCCTCTGTGTCACTCTGCTTTTCAAATAGATGAAAGTGAAGGAACTATTTTTTTTAAATAGCTTACTGGATGCCCAGTGTAATGTGTCACTTAGCTAGGATCTGGCTGAACTGGGCTTTTTCTTTAAAGCTCTTAATTGCCTTTTTTTTGCTGGCTTGAGGAGAGCCCCACTGAGCTGCTTTTGGGCCCACTGTGGTGCTTATGATGTTAGTGGTGGTAGACGGAAAAAACCTGGCAGTAGGATTCTGTGAGAGATGAACACTCTCTAAAATTGCTTATTTCCTTTCTCAGTCCAGAGACCCGGCTGTTCAAGCTGCCATCTTGGCCCAGCTGAATGCAAAATATGGTTCTGGAGTGTTACCCGATGCCCCAAAGGAAATGACCAAGGCAAGTGCAGCCCCCGCCGTGGCTGCTGAGCAGGCCACACTGCCCACCGGGACCCCCAGCAAGCACCTTGCCTGGTTTGATTTTCCTACCTGGAGAAACAGGGCGCCCCACCCCCGCAGTCCTTTCTTCATCCCCATTATTTACAAATGTGGCCAGACAGCCTGAATTCTAAGCCCAACACCCCCATATACTAGGGTCTTGACTGTCTTTAGGAAACTGACTTCCAGACCATATGCAAAATGAGGGGAATGCTGTGTAACCTGCCCCGAAGGGTAGTTAGGAAGAGCAGACGACAGGACACGTCAGGCAGCTGTAGAAGTAAAAAGCTCTTGGACAGTTAACTTGGTAAATCAAGAGGAGCCGCCTGTTTAGCTGCAGTTTTCTGCCAAAGCAAACCCCTGCTGTTCCAGGAATTCTCATAATCTGGGCTTAGCTGAGGCCTGTGGTCTTAAACCCGCCCTTTCTACTACAGACCCTCCTAGCCCTGAGCCTTCCCTCTCTGTGCTTTGAAGCACAAAAGGCTTCAGAGAAGAAAGCTGGGAGTCCGTGGCCTCTCCCGTCCTCCCCGGAGAGCCGGAACCGGAAGTCAGCCTTAGCGGGAGAACGGAATGAACTGGAGCCCCGGCAGTGGAGGCTCCTGCTGCCTGAGAGCCGCGTGTGCGGGCGCTTTTACTCTTGGCTTTCCTCCTCCCGTCGCAGGGCCAGGGGAAGGATAAGGATCTGAATTCTAAGTCAGCCAGCGACCTCTCTGAAGATCTCTTCAAAGTACATGATTTTGATGTGAAGATTGATTTACAGGTTCCCAGCTCAGGTACGTGAGGGTGGGGGCAGAGATGGCGCCACGGTGCCCTTGGCCAGCAAGGGGGCCTGATGTTAGTGAGGAGCGGGGGTGTCAGCTCCTCAGTGTCTCTAGTGGCAGGGGCGGGCGGGCTGTGCCGCACAGGCTGGGAGCTTCACGTGCCAATCTGCCGTTCCTTCCCACAGAGTCCAAGGCACTAGCCATCACCTCCAAGGCTCCGCCAGCCAAGGATGGGGCTCCAAGGAGATCTCTGAACTTGGAAGACTACAAAAAACGACGGGGGCTTATTTGAGCGCACCCAGCCTGCTGCCGCCAGCCCTGCATGCCCCAGCACTGTGCCCCGCCTTTCCTCTTTTCCTTTGGTTTGCCCTCTTTGGGCTGGAGCAGCAGTGGAACTGGGAAGAGACTCTAAACTGCCAGTCGTCTGTAATATAAACCGTTCGCTGTATAGACCTCCTTTGTCTGCACCATCTCCGCCACCCCGGACCCCGGCCAGCGTGGAGCTGGGCTCTCTGGAGCTTTTTCCATGGCTTTAGATTTGTGTTTGCCTTTTTCCTTTTTTTTTTTTTTAAACCAGCACAGTTCATTGGCCACTCTGCACGCATTCAGTATTACCATGGAGCTGGGAGTTTGCTGGAGCCCGTGGAGGCCATATCAGCAGCACGGGGCGGTCTCTTCTGCCGCCTCGGACCCAACCATTGAACATTTGGCACCTGACCCTCGTGGAGGGTGTGGGGATTGGGCACCTGCAGTCCTCCGCCCTCTCGCCTCTCCTTTCTCCTCTTCCCATCTGTATGGAAGAGGGGTTTTCAAAACCAATTTAGTTTCCAAAAAAGTGTACATTTGTGGGGAGGGAGGGGGGTCTAATTTGAGAGAGAGAGAGTGTGTGTGTGTGTGTGTATGTGTGTGTAAGTGTGTGGATTTTTTTATCATTTTTTTAAAATGCAGTACTCTTTGTATCAGTCTGTCATGGGTCTATAGCTGTTTCAGATTTTTTTCAGCTGTACTTGAGCATCTGAAACCGCAAGAAAGAAACTCATTAAATGTGATTCTTCTTACTAAACAGGCCTGCCTGCTGTAGCTGTGTAACTTCCCTCCCCGCCTCTCCCCCTCATCACCCCCAGCCCCCTGCCCTGCAGGCTGTGTCCCGGCAGGTGGGAGGGCAGTAACAGAGCCTTGCTCATCCCCTGGGTGCAGCCCGCAGCTTCTTGGCTGAACAGACAGTGTGTTTTTTTGTGTTTTTTTTTTTTTTTTTTCTTTTTTCCCCACTCACTGTACCTGTCTCTTCCTAGTGATTCTGTTTTGCTGTTTTGGCAAGAATGACATTTTGTTTTTAAGAGAAATTATTCAACACGAATGTGGAGAGCGAACACACAGAGATTTCGGTCGCAGATGTTGTCAGCATGTGCCGTTTGCGTGTGTGTCTACGTACAGCTATGGGGGGTGTACATGTGACTGTGCAGCTAGGGTGAAGCCAGAAGAGGTGTGTGTGTCTTTATGAACTGTTTGAAAAGAGATAAGCTGACTGCTCGATAATCATTCTCAGGTGTAAAGCTCCAACTGTAAATAAAAGTGGCATTTAACAAATCTTTCCAGAACAAAGTCCAGCTGACTATATATACCAAGAACTAAGCTGAAGAAAAGCTGAGAGCTGCCAACTTCCACACGAGGCAGGGGCATCTAGAAGCTCGGCTCTGTACTTCTTCACCCTACTTTTGTATAAAGCAGGAAGGGAAGGGGATGAAGGGAAATCATGGAGTTAATTTGTATTTTAACATAAAAATGAACTTAAGTGACTCTTCTGGATTTAGCAGAGCCTTGGTATTGCTTTAACTTAGTTTACATTTTTTTTTTAATTTTGCAAACAGTAATGGATGGTTTTAAAGAAGTGTTGTGACTGTGTAAAGTTGATAAACATGACTGTAACACAGCTATGTGGTGGCTGTGACACAGTTCGGTTGGGCGAAGGAGTGGTAATGGACTCATTAAAATCATATTTACTTGAAGAGTCCATTGACCGAAACTCTTTACAGACCATTGTGTAAATGTGGAATCACAGACTGTTAAACATTGCCGGGACTCCTCCGGCCCAGTCCTGGAGCTGCCAGGACCTCTCCCATCATGATGAACTTGGACTTTTTTTTTTTTTTTTTCCTTTCTGGTTTTAAAAGACGTAAAATGATAGAATCCATATAATTTGCTGGAATCACTCTGACCCATCATGTAGATCTGTATTTAGTATCATTTGGATTTGGAGAAGTGTCAATTACATTATGGCTGTGTAATAAAATTTTTATTCAAACTGCATCACACTGTAGCCACTTTGCCACTACCTCCCCACACGCAGCTGCTGAGAGCTGTGTCCTGAGATGCCGAAGCACACAGCAGGGAGAGAAGCCACCCAAAGACGATGGGAAGTTAACTTAGCGCCTGCATAGCCCACTTGAGGATTGGGGTCAAGACTAAGGACTTGTCTCCAGTCTCAGCCAGGGCAGGGCCTGTGCCCCAGGATCTTGGCCAGGCACGAGAGAGACACTGGCTTTGTCCCAGTGGCTCACACTTCCTGGTGCTTCCCAGTATTTCTTGTGTGCCCTCCTCCCCGCGTGGTTTCAGTGCTGAAGGGTACCACACCCAAGCTTACTTATACATTTTTCAGTTCCAAGAATCAAAGAGGCCTAGCTCATGGTGTATACAGGTCTGTTTGTCTTGCTTCTGACAGGCACAGAATGTTGCAACTTCCCTTCAAAAAGAATGCTTTTTTTTGTTTGTTTGTTTCTGTGAGGTCCTGACTTGTCACTCAAACTGTACAGATACTTGTAAATAAACTGCCATTTTAATACGGGGATCAGATCGAGTGCAAGCATTGTGTGCTGGGTGGCAGCTCTCAGAGCCATGTTTCCAGTGCCCAGGAGAGCCTCTGCTTCCTTTCCTTCCCCCTCTCAGCCCTGTGCATCCAATCCTGAGAGCCGCTGGTTCCCCAGAAGCCTGTTGTTGGCTTCCTGTCGTGGCAAGAGACTTTAACAGAACTGCCTAAGCTCTGTAAGCATTCCCCACCCCTAATGCCTGAGGCTGTGTCTCCCTATCTCTGCTAGGAAGCGGGATCCTGCATTGGCTGCCCTGTTAGAGGTGGGAGGGCCAATGACAATCACAGTGTTGGAGAGGTGCGCCCCAGGGATTAGCACACAGGTGTACCCAGATTTTCTCCAGCTTAATGCCACTCCCACTGCTTGACTGTGGGGAGCAGTGGCATTCACAGGAGTTCTGAGCTCCCAGGATCTGGGTGCTGCCGGGCAGCCACACTGCCTTCCGTGGGAAGGAGAGCGGACCAACAGTGCTGGTGGAGGGAAGAGGGGTGCTGGGTGGTCAACTTGACCTCCCCAGAGTTTTCCAGGAGAGGAGATCCTTCCCTGGGTAATCATGGGTGGCTGTACTCCAGGAAGCCAGGACCGCAGCTCAGACGTCTGATTCATTTCCCAGACCAAAGGTGGCCACTGAGCTCCCCTGGGCTCTGTGCTTTGGGGGGCTGGAAGGAAGGGCATCCTGCTTTCTCTGCAGTTTCCCAAACTACCCCCAGTACCTCTGTATGGAACCAGTTTCTCTGCATCCATCCAGTAGGAGCTCAGCCACTGGGGCACAAGCACATCAAGGATTTTCAGTCCATACTGCAGTCTGGAGGTAGACCAGTAGCCCCAAGGGTACCAGCTCCCAGCAGGGTTCTCAGCCCAGCTGACACCAACATCTAGGACTAAGAGATTTAACTCTGAGCCAGATTCCCATTCTTAAACAAAGGATAATCTGTCACTACCCTGCCAGCACTGTGGCGTAGCAGGTTAAATTGCCACCTGTGGCACTGGCATCCCATGTGGGCACCAGTTCAAGTTTTAGCTGCTCCACTTACCATCCAGCTTTTTGCTATGGCCTGGGAAAGCAGTAGAAGATGGGCTAGATGCTTGGGCCCCTCCCTGAACCCACATAGGGGACCCAGAGGAGGCTCCTGGCTTCAGATCAGCCCAGCTCTGACCATTGCAGCCATTTGGGAAGTGAACCAGTGGATGAAACACCTCTCTCTGCCTCTGTAACTCTTTCAAATAAATAAATCTTAAAAAAAAAAAAGAAAGAAAACTGTTCTGTCTTCAGTAGGAGCTCAGTAAATGCTGTTGTGAGTAGAGGAAGCCACTGCATCTGGAGGAGAGACTGTTGGGTCCCCATGGTCCAGGGTGGACCCCAGGGGTCCTGATGGTGGGGCACAAGCTGGGTAACGGGCTTGGCCAGGACTGAAGAGCTTGGCCCAGAACCTCTAGGCGGCCTGCACGGCAGGAGGTCAAGAAACCACCCTTGTAGTGTGCCCAGCAGCTGGCCTGAGGGAGCTTTTGGAGAAGGTGGCTGCAGCCCAGCTTGTGTCCAGCCCTCAGCACGTCCCTACCTTGACCGCGGGGCTGAAGGCAAGGCCCGCCTCCCCCCCCCACCACCAACAGTTAAGATCCCTCAGAGCAGCACCAGGCCAGAGGCCAGAGGCCTGCAGAGTTCCCGGGGCTCTGGTGACCACATCTTTCTCACAGTATCAGAGCCGCTCCTGCTCTCACCGAGCCGCCAATGGCCCTGCTTTGCCTCGCCTGCAGACGCCAAGCACACACACTCATTCTCCAAGCCCCGAATGCCCTGATTTATCTTCATCGACTCCAGAAGCTTTCCCTGACCGCCCCCTCCCAGGCCAGCTTGGGTGCACCCCCACCAACTCCCCCTAGCGCGTCCCTTCCCACGCCATACAGTTATTTATGCGTCCCCACGCCTCGCCTGGAATCACTGTGTCCGTGGCATTTCCCTTCGTACCCCAGCACTCGGCGCCGCCTGGCGCTTGGGTAACGCCCACGAAAGGCGGTGGAGGGAGGGAGAGAAGGAATTGAGCAGACGGCCCGCCAGGGCCCCAACTTCTGGTGCATTCCCACCCGCGGGTCCTCACCCAGCTCTGGTACCTGGACCCGCGCGCCACAGCGCCCCCGGGAATGAGACGCCACCTGCAGCAGTGGCCCAGGCTCCGCCCTTTGGTATCGACCTCAGCCAGCCAGCCAGCTAGAACGGCGGCTGCGGTAGACAGAGACGGCCGGCTCACCCCCACGGCCCCCGGCCGCGGCCTCAGCTCGCTGGCTCTTTTCCGCCGAGCGGCCTCGGGTGCTTGCACGTGCGCTCTTGCCTGTCTCCAGGCGGGAACCCTCGCAGGGCGCACCGCACAGCGATTCCCGGAGCCGGGAGCCCGGCCTTCCTGGTGTGGCAGGCGCGCAGCGATGCGTGAACCCAGGGACTCCTGGTGCCAGCGCGCCACCGCATGCTCTGTGGACGCGGTCACCAGGGCACAGAGATCCAAGTGGAATTAGAGGCTGCGTCCCCACCCCAGCGCCGCGACGGTGGAATGCAGAAGTCCCCTGGTGACACCCCAGCCCCTCCCTGTCCCTTCTGCCTCCACTCCACTGCTGGGAGACATTCCACGTTCTGCTCTCTCGAGAGGCTCCTGGGCCCTTGGGGCAACCCTGTCTCTGGAGTGTGTCAGGAGACAGTCTGGTCTCCTAGACACACTCAGGAGGGCAACGCATTCCGTTCCTTTGACAAGAGTGACTCAGACTGTGGAGAGTCAGCCAACACTGCTAGATCCTAGCCTTCCTAAAGGAATCTCTTAGCCATCCCAGAATATTCCCACAGGTCCAGCTGTCCTCCATGGGGTCCAAGATGGCAGGGAGGAGGGGAAACCCAGAGGAGGAAAGGGCTCTGGTGTGAGGGCTGAGGCTGCCACCCTCTCCTCTCACAGGGCCTCCCACATCCTCAGGTCCCACCGGCGCTGGCTCAGGCCATTGCCCTGTCTCGCTGGCCCCAGGCAGGCAAGAGCACTGGGGAAGGTTTGGGAGCAGGAAGCAGCTTGGAGACCAGGATCCCAGGGCCTCACTGGCAGTCCCTTAGAAAGAGTGGAGGCAGCCGGCGCCGTGGCTCACTAGGCTAATCCTCTGCCTTGCGGTGCTGGCACACCAGGTTCTAGTCCTGATCGGGGCGCCGGATTCTGTCCTGGTTGCCCCTCTTCCAGGCCAGCTCTCTGCTATGGCCCAGGAGTGCAGAGGAGGATGGCCCAAGTCCTTGGGCCCTGCACCCGCATGGGAGACCAGGAAAAGCACCTGGCTCCTGGCTTCAGATCAGCGTGGTGTGCCAGCCGCGGCAACCATTGGAGGGTGAACCAACGGCAAAAGGAAGACCTTTCTCTCTGTCTCTCTCTCTCTCTCTCACTGTCCACTCTGCCTGTCAAAAAAAAAAAAAAAAAAAGAGTGGAGACAGCCTCAACCCCTGGGGACTGTTTTCTGTCTGGTTCCTTTCTGGAACCCCAAAGGGAGCGGCCATCACTCCCAGGAAGGGGAAGTGGGGGCAGCAGGAGCCACTCAGTCCCGAAGCCTCTGCACCTGGCACGATGCCTCGTCACCTGCATGACCGCAGAATATGGGTCGGAAACTTCTAGAAGGGCCCCAAGTCCCATGGAGCATGTCCGGGAGTTGTTACCAGAATGACACCTGAGATTCCCTGGTCCAAAGGAACACGACCGCCCGAGCAGCCACACCCCCACAGGCTCTGCTCCCTTTGGAGAGCCCTCCACGGCCCCTCCAGACAACAGGAGCCCACTCAGGAGCGCAGGCCACAGGCCTCCGCTTGCCTTAGCACTGTGCCAGGCAGGGGTTGGTGAGCAGTGAGCTTGCTCCTGCCCCTGGGGTCCCCGGTGCTGCCCTGGGACTAGGGGATACGACCAGGTCCCTGGCAACCCCTGGCCTCACACATGTGCTTTCCAGCTCTGTGCCCCAGGCTGTTGCCCTCTAGAGGAATGCAGCCCTCAGGCATATGGAGGAGGACCCGGCACCCCGAGGAGCCAGTCTCTAAGGGACAGGGGGTCACCAGGTGCAATGCCACAAGAAGGAGGGTTCTGTCCTCAGATGTGAGGGCAGATGCTCATGGTCCATCTCAGACTGGCCGCCTGAGGCCACCTTCATCTATGCCCAGGCTGCCCCACGCTCGTGTGCCCTCAGCACTCAAGATGCCAGCTCCCCCTCCTCCACACTAGTCTGACTTCCTGTACATCCCATGTTCTCAACTATCAAAGAGAGGAAACAGGGGGCATTGTGGTGCAGTGGGTTCAGCTGCCACTTGGGACACACATCAGAGTGCCTGGCATTGAGTCCCCCTCTGCTCCAGATCCACCTTCCTCCTCCGCCCATGCCCGGAAATGGCAGATGATGCCTTAAGTACTGAGGTCCCTGCCACCCACATGGGAGCTCTGGATGAGTGCTAGGCTCCTGGGCTCAGCCTGGCCCAGCTCTGGTCATTGTGGGCACTTGAGGAATGAACCAGCAGATGGAAAATCTCCCCTCTCGCTGTCTCTCTGCCCTTCAAATAAATAAAGGGGGAAATCGAGGCACAAAACTCATTTTCCTGTCTTAACTAGGAGAACATTGTCTCCCCTGCACCCTACCCCACAGCCATATGGGGATCTTAGGCCTCGCCCCAATATGTACCCCTGTTCTCTGCGTGCAGTAGGTGGAGGCAGACTGTGCCTTCTTTGGATTGAACAGCAAGATGTTAGTGAGAGAAATTAGGCACAGGACAGGAACAGAAGTCAGGGGATCTAGCCAGGACCCACTGGCTTCTCCACCATCTAGCAGTGTGGCCTCCCACTGTGTCTGTAGCTGCCCTGGGCCCTATCCTCTTTGTTAGTTTCTTCTGTAGCGATGAGAGAAGCATCTGAGACCCCTTCCCACTCTAAAAATTGGTGAGGGTAGCTCTCCGCTCCCCTCTTCCCAGATGTGCCCTTCTGCTTCCTGAGGGACATCTGGGCAGGTACGGCAGATAGCGATTGTGTGGGTGCTGGGGCGGTGGACCGAAGACCTGCCCAGGTGCCTGATACAAGAAAATGGCAATTGCCCATGTATTTTCTCTGGGCAGCAGGAACAGAGAGCCGGCGCCCAGCCTGCTTGCGCCTCCAACATCGTCCACACGCTGCCTGGTGCACTGGCCCAGCGCATGCTCGCTCTCTCGTTCCCTCCCTATTTTCCCAGTGGGTCCCAATCTGGCAAGTCCCATCTGCTGAGGGCAGCACCTGCCCCCCCCACCCCGCTTGCCACCAGCCAGTGTAGCTCAAAAGGAGGGAAGGGGGTGTACCTTCCAGTCACAAAGCACCCCCCCAGACTCATCCAGACCTCTGGGCCCCAGAGTGGGGGTGGGGTGGGGGAGCTGTGACTGCCCAGTGCTCCACAGAGCAGGCAACTCTTCAGACTCCTGTGTCTCCTTCTTCCCTCACCCCTCCATCCCTGCATTTCTCCTCCCTCTCCCTCCCCACTCTTCCAACTTTTGCTCCTGCATGGGTTCCCCAGGGCCTCTTTCTTTGCTGAAGGGTCGCAGTTCTCCCACTGAGCCCGCCTCTCCCCCTCCTGGGGCACCCATGGGTGCTTGGCAGCCCTCATCACAGTGCAGAGGCCATCCTCCACGGGATGCTGGCTGGGTTCCAACAATGCCCAGGCAGTGGTGCCAGCTGAGGGAGCTGATCTCCTTCTGGCGTGTGTGTGTGTGGGGGGGGGGGTAGTCAGGAAACGATTCCTGCCCAGGCACCCTTGCAATGCTGCTGATCACCACTCAACACCCCCCCACACACACACAACCCCCCCCCACCCCCACACTAACTGACCCAAGGGCCCGTCCAGCTCGGCTCACTCTGATGAAACGCGGGAGACAGCTCAGCCTCTGCGCTCTCTCCCCAGATCCACAGCCGCACCTCGGGGGGTCAGCTGAAGGACTGCCTGAGACACAGAGTGTGGTGGACTGGAGACTGGCGTGCTCTCCACTAACGCACCAAGACTCCCTTTGGACGTTTTCGTATTTTTCTCTTTATTTTGTTCCCACAGCAGCCCTGTGAGGGGGTGAAATGACTTGCTCAAAGCCCACAGCTGGCTCCAAGTCCCAGTTCCAGCGGGAGAGGGCACGAGGCTGCAGAAACCAGCCCCGCGGGCCGGCAGCGGGGGCTGCAGCGGCTCACACGAGGAGAGGCGCAGGCCCCGCCCCCTGACCTTGTTCTCTGCCCGCTGGGAAGTGGGCAGCTTCGGGAGGGCACAGCCTCAGCTCCTCCCCGGGACAGTCCCCACTTGGGCGCACGCCCTGGGGTGGGGCTTCTTTGGGAAGCCACTGACCGTGAACTCTGTGCTAATGGGCCCCGACCTGAGAAAAGCCCCGAGTGCTGGGAGCCTTTGTCTGGGATGGACGGAACGCGGAAAGGAGCCCAGGGACCTGGGGCGGAGGGGCAAGGGCCTTGAGGACTGCCTGGAGGAATCTCTCCCAGTCCCCTAGCCAGGCACGGCAGCAAGGCCCACGGGCGCAGCGGCACCTCCGCCAACTTCGAATGTAAGCCGGGAGAGGCCGTCAGGGCCAAACCTGGGTTTTGCGCCTTCCGAGCCAAGTCTTCCCAGCCACCAGGGCAACAACCGAGAGCCTTTCTTGTCCGGCAAGGGCCCTAGGAGGCCCGCGCTTTCTCTGAAAGCGAAAGGAGTGGGCGGGGGGCGCGGCCGAGGCGGGGCCCGGGCCGGCGGCGCGCAGGCTCCGCCCCGGGGCAGTCCCAAGCCCCGGGCGCTGAGCGTCTAGAGTCCCCGCCGCGCCGCGGGCTGGTGGGCTCGGCTGCTGCGCCGGTGCCGAGAAATGACCCTGCCCGGGGGCCCGACGGGCATGGCGCGGCCGGGGGGCGCGGGGTCCTGCAGCCCCGGGCTGGAGAGGGCCCCGCGCCGGAGCGTCGGAGAGCTGCGCCTGCTCTTCGAAGCGCGCTGTGCCGCGGTCGCCGCCGCCGCCGCCGCAGGGGATCCCCGGGCCCGCGCGGCCAAGCGGCGTGGGGGACAGGTGCCGAACGGGCTCCCGCGGGCTCCCCCTGCCCCGGTGATCCCGCAGCTGACAGTGACAGCTGAGGAGCCGGATGTACCCCAGGCCAGCCCTGGGCCCCCGGAGCCGGAGGGTGACTGCCTCCCGGCTGGGGGCTCACACCTGCAGCAGCCACGCCGCCTGTCCACTTCGTCGCTCTCCTCCACCGGCTCCTCATCGCTACTCGAGGACTCGGAGGACGATCTGTTGAGCGACAGTGAAAGCCGGAGCCGCGGTAACGTGCAGCTGGAAGCGAGCGAGGACGTGGGTCAGGTACGGGGCGCGGAGGCGGGCCGGCGCGGGGACAGAGCCCGGGCTAGCCGAGGGCCGTTGGCACTGCGGAGGTCGGGCGAGCCGACCCCCTGCTTTGGCAGTTTTCACTCCAGCTCTGCAGGATCGCGGCGGGGCCCCGGGGCGTCCGGGGGAGCGCGAGGAGCCAGCCACCCGCTACGGAGTGAGGGGCGTTCCTGCCGGTCAGGAGGGAGGGCTGGAGGGATCGGAGGCTCCTTCCCCTTGCCCCGGGAGCCCTCGGGGAGAGGGAGGCGAGCGACCGTGTCCCGCCCGCCCGCCCGCCCCCTCTCCGGTGCCGCGGCCCCACCCCCGCCGTTGCCACGGTTTCCCTCTCCTGAGTGGGAGTGGAGCGGCGCTCCAGGCTCGGCTCGAGAGCTGCTGCCGTCTGCTCCCGGCGCCCGCACGCGGCCTGGACGCAGGGGCGGGCGGGGCGCGGGGCTGGGAGCTCCGGCAAGGAGCCGAATGGAGCCCGCCCAACGCGCACCTGGGTCTCCCCGGCTTCCAGCTCCTAAGCTTGGCCTGGGGGGAGGTAAACTGAGGCCAAAAAGGGGGCGGGGCTACCCTGTTCCTCTCTGCCTGGATATTCTGGGGCCAGGGTTCGATGAAGAAGTCATTCTCTGCCTTCTCCCCTTGTGGGGCGTGCCGCCTTGCCACCGGGTTTTAACCACGGCCAGATACTTTAAATAACTGCCCGCGGTCAGCGCGAAGGAGTTAGACCCAAGTTACACAAGTGTCGCTGCAGCCGAGCGAGAGGTGAGGGGCTCCTTCGGCCTCTGGGGTCTCCGCGCCTGTCCACGGCTTGGAGGAGGCGGAGGAGGCCCCGTAACGCCTGGCGGGAGCTCCGAGGCTTAGCGGTGCCCCCATCCCCACCTCCACCCCAGAGACTTACAATACCCGGAGGGCGGTGCGGGGTTGTAGATGACACGAGAGAAAAAAACGCAAAGCCCCGTGGAGCGGGAACATCCCCCGCCGCCAGGTGCGAGGTGCGGGGGCTCAGTCACGAGCCTGCCGCGTCCCTTTCTCCTCCGCCGGCCCTCAAGGGTACCCCCGGCTCGTGGTCGTTCCTGAGGTAACCTTGGCCCCTGTGCCCGGGCGGCCGCGGCCGAGGGGTTCTAAGACCTGAGACGGGGGGGGGGGGCGGCAGTGGGAAGACCCCTCCCACCCCATCTAGGTTGGAAAAACCTGAACAGAAGTGGGCGCTCCGTCGCTCAAAGCTGCCACACCTGAGAGCCGGCGCGGCCGAAAGGGCGCGACCAGTTGGGGCGCCCAGGACGCGGGCACGCCCCGCTTGCCTCTTCCGCTCTCAGGGGCCCGGCGAGGCGCCGAGGGGGAGGGACTGAGCGAGCAGGAGGTCCTGCAGCCCGAGGCGGAGTGCGCGCAGACAACCCCGGCTGGGGTCAAGACTATGCGGAGGAGCCGCGGCCGTGTCCTTGCGCGTCTCGGGACTGGCGGTCTCCTGGCGCGGCCGTGAGAGGGTGCAGATGGCCGCGAAGGGCCCTTCCAGCTCCAAGGCTGCGTCTTCCAGGCCTTCCCAACCCCCAGGCCGCCGGGGCCTCCCCGAAGGCAAACAGCCACGGAGGCGGCAGATAAGCCGGGGGTGTTGACAGAGGTTGCCTGCGCCCGCGTGGAACGGCCTGGAGCGGACTTTGCCTCACAGCCGGTCCCAGAGCGGCACAGCGCGCTCGCCCTGGCAGCCTTTTAGGGCTTCCCCAGGCAGGAAGCAGAGCGGGTCCGGCCGACTGTGTGCGAAGGATGCACCTGCCGGGAGGGTACTGCGTCCGCTGGCCGGGGCTCCTGGCTTGCCGGCCCTTTCCACTCGGACCTGGGCGGACTGAGGCCTGGGAAGGCTCTACTTGCCTCCGCCCAGCGCATGCATTCCTCCCCTTTGCCTCCTAGGAGCTCCGCACAGCCTGCACAGAGCAGACAGTTGTCATTGGGCAGCTTCCCGCCGTCCAGGGGCCTTCCTCGGGTAGAAGAAAAGTCACAGGCAGGGAAACACAGGGAGGCTGGAGGCCACCCCCAAGGGCGGCCGTCTGTAAGCTGTTCCTAGACCGCCCCCACGTCCTTAAACAATCCTGGCTGGCCGCTGGAGCCAGAGAGAGGGTGCTTGGTTCCTGGTCACCTGGTGTTCTTCTCTCCAGGCTAGGTAAGGAGACCTGGATGCCATCCCCTCCTGGACTCAGAACTCCCACACATCACTTTCCACTAATTATAGAGCAGAATTTAGGTTAACAGACTTCCTTTTTAAAAAGCAAATGCCCATGGGAAGGTGAAGTCGTGGGTCACTTATACCTTTGTGCAAATCATTTTATAAATTTAAACTGCACTCACCACCACCATAGGGAGTGCTAGTTTGATAGGGCAACTGGGACATGGGGAGGGTGTTGGGATGGCAGAGAGTTCCAGCTGGGGACTGATGAGTGGGGAAGGGAGCAGGGTGAGAATCAAGTCTGTTCTGGCTGGAGAGACACTGGGTGTCTGCTGCGACACAAGGAGCAGGTGTCCTCAAGGCCCTGCCCAGGAAGAGATGCTCCCTGCTTAGCCCTAGGATGAGGAATGAGATGCTCTGGTGACCTCTGGCTGTGCTCTGATTTCTCAGGGAGGGCACTTCCATGGAGCGGGGGTGGGGTGGTGGGGTGGGGGTAGGAGGAAGAGCCTGGGCCAGAGAGTGGGGGTCTCGCCCTCTTGGCAACTGGCTTTCTTTTTTTTTTTAATTTTTCAGTTTTTAAAAAATGTTTATTTATTTGAAAGGCAGAGTTACAGAGAGGCAGAGGCAGAGAGACAGAGAGGTCTTCCATCCACTGGTTCAACCCCCTTAAGTGGCTGCAACAGCTAGAGCTGGGCCGATCCAAAGCCAGAGGGTGCAGGGGCCCAAGGACTTGGGCCATCTTCTGCTTTCCCAGGCCATAGTAGAGAGCTCGATTGGAAGTGGAGCAGCTGGGACTCAAACCAGACACCCATATGGGATGCCCGCTACGCCACAGCACCAGCCCCACAACTGGCTTTCAATTGTAGTGTCATGAATCTGCAACGCAGCATCAACCTGCTTTCCAATGTCCATACTTACAAGTCTCATTTGCTCAGAAAGATCTTCCCTACTGTTGTTCATGTGCCCAAATCCCCACCCACCCGTCCACCCAGGAATGGATCTCCAGGAGCCTTTTGGACACACTGGTTTTTAACTGCCTTATTCCTGGGGGAGATATTTCCCTAAAATGGAAGGGTGGAGTCCCATGGCATTTGCATCCACTGTGTCCATACTTGACCACATCCCTTACTGAGAGGGGAGCTAAATCCTGTCCTAGCAACCTCAAGTGGTGGTGGAAGGGCTTAGATGAGAGACTGGGCATGGAAGTACTTTGTAACCTGCAAGGCTGGAGCCAGGCTTAGTCAGTCATGCTTCTCTTAGCCCATGTGAAACTCACAAAGCTGGGGTGGGAAGAATAGGTGCTGGCCCCCCTTTACCTCAGCTTGAGAACAAGTTGCTGCTGTTGTCATACATCAGTCAAGTAGAAGTGCGAGGCTTCAAACCCTTCACAAGGCCCCACCCACCCCCCTGCCCTGTTCCCTGAGGGATCCCAGAGGGAAAGACAGTCCCCTCACCCTATCTAACCCAAAGGTAGTTCTCCCTTCAACTGGTGTGGCTACATATATCCATGTATCCTCCCACTAAGTCCATTCTGATCCCACTCTTCCCCAAATTCTGTGAGCAGCCTACAGCTGCCTGAAACTCTATGAGACTTAGCCCTTTGAATGAAGGCCAAGCTGTCCAGGCGGCGGAGATGGGTTCCCCTGCAGTGCCTGGTGTTTCCCCAGACAGCAAAACACTCCTTAGGGCTGCAAATCCTGCAAAGCCAATGGCAGGGCCCTTTCTCAGGGCCTGTGTCATCTGAGTCCCACGGGGAGGCAGGGTGGTAGCATGAACTGTGGAAGCTCCTGGAACAATTGGGATCTGGGGAAAAAGCCGAGCTGGTGGGGGGCTCTGTCTAGGGCATCAGGGAGAGATGCTAACTCCCCCGAGCCTTGATTTCCTTCTGTAGAGTGGGGATAATAATACCACCTGGAGCGCTTGCTGGGCATGTGCCTCATTAGCATGATTCCCAAACCGAGTGTGGGAGACGGGGTCTGAGACGAGTTGCTGAATATACATGGAGCATACATCATCTTCCTGGAATTTTACTTGAGGATTTGGAGGTGGGGAGTTTTATAATAAAACTTGGATTTATTATGCAGCAAAATGCAAACCTTGTATGTATTTAAAGCTTTTAAAAAGGAGTTTTGAAAGCGATGTCATGCTTCTAGTGGGCCGCTTCTGGCGACACCCCCAGATCCCCGGGGATTGGACATGTGATCACGCCCTAGTGTGCCGTGCAGGGACTTCAGCAGGAAAGCAGGAGCAGGGCGTCTGATGGGAGAGTGCCTGGCATGCAGTAGGCAGGCAGTACGTGCTGGCTCGTGTGACGGCAGCAGCTATGTCCTCCCAGAGCAAACAGGCCCACACAGATGGCAGTATCTGCTAGGGCTCACTGAGTGAGAAAGTGACAAGAGCCAGGACTAGAGCTCACTGCTGATTCCCCACCCATGTGCTGCCACCAGTCCCACCTGCTCCCTACGGGTCAGGACTCTGTGGTCATTAGCACTTCCCCTACTTAGTCCACCCCTCAGTTCTCCTACTTAGAACTCCCTCAGGGGGCCGGTGCTGTGGCATAGCAGGTAAAGCCCACACCTGCAGTGCCTGCATCCCATGTGGGCACTGGTTCAAGTCCCAGCTGCTCCACTTCCAATTCAGCTCTCTGCTATGGCCTGGGAAAGCAGTAGAAGATGGCCCAAGTCCTTGGGCCCCTGCACCCACGTGGGAGACCCAGAAGAAGCTCCTGGCTCCTGGCTTTGGATCAGCGCAGTTCTGGCCATTGCGGTCAATTGGGGAGTGAACTAGCAGATGGAAGACCTCTCTCTCTCTCTGTCTCTCCGTCTCTGTCTCTCTCTGCTTCTCCTTTTCTCCTTGTGTAACTGACTTTCAAATAAATAAATAAATATTTTTTAAGAAACAAAAAAAGAACTCCCTCAGAGGGTCAGAGTGGCTGGTTCCTGGGTTCCAGTCCTGCACAGACACACTGCACAAAGACGCACACACACCCCAGGCGGAAGCAGCAGACACACTTCAGATGAGCAAACCTGTGCATGTTAAAGAGTCGACTGCAGAGATTTGGGGGTTGGGGGAAGTGGAAGGTTCAGAGGGTGAGCTCTTTCAGGACTGGTGACAGAAGCAAGAGTCCTGAGACAAGGAGTACACCAAACACAAACAAAAACCCAAACCCCTACATTTCCCTCTGGGTTCTGTCCAACATGACAAGCCCTGGGGTTCAGACCGGAAGCTAGGATGCCCTGGGCTTGGCCAGCCAGTGAGGGGTGGCAAGGGCATCTCTCCAGCTGCTGCAGGGCTGGCCTCCCGCCCGTGTCCCTAAGAGGGGCTGAGGCCCTAAGTGGTGGGGCATGAAGCCATCTGCCTGGCTTCTGCCTCCTGCCAAGAGAGGTGGACCTCCCACACCCCTCACCACAGCCCACTGAGATGGTTTTTCCCCACTGAATGGATGAGGAAATCAACACACACAAGCTAGTTTCTCAGCCCTCAGAATCTTCCGAGGTATTAGCAGCATGCAAAGTTTTAGCCCCACCCTAGACCTACTCATAATTCCCCTGAGAGTCTGCAGTTTTAAACAAGGGTGACCCCAGGCAACTCCAACGTTCAGAAAAGGTTGAAAACCTCTACAAAGCAGTTTAGTAATGTGCCCATGCCTTTAGAGAAAAAAAAAAGTTTAGTATTTATTTGAAAGGCGGAGAGTAAAAGACAGATCTTCATCCGCTGGTCTACTCCTCAGATGCCCACAACAACCAGGCCTGGGCCAGGCCCAAGCCAGGAGCCAGGAGCAGGTCTCTCACGTGGGTGGCAGGGGCCCAGGCACTTGGGCCATTATTGGCCGCCTCCCTCCCGGGATGCCTTAGCAGGGAGCTGGAACCGGCGCTCCAGTACAGGGTGCCGGCGTGGGAAACAGTGGCTTAGCCCTCGCTGCCACAGCGCCGCCTCTGCTCATGGAAAGCTCAGGTATAAGCTTAAACCTTCTGACGCCCAGGCCAGGGCACGTCGGCGGCGCCCGTCTCCCTCCCAGTGTAGACGGGCGACTGAACAAACGCAGGCCCCCTGCGGCCCCAGCCGCTTCCGGTGGGCCAGGGGCGGGGCGGGACCCGGTTCGCAGGGGCGAGGGCGCGTGCGTCGCCGCCACGCCGACCCGCGGTCTGCGCCGTGTCGCTTTCAGAAAAGCCACTGGCAGAAGATCCGAACCATGGTGAACCTGCCCGTCATGAGCCCGTTCAAGAAGCGCTACGCCTGGGTGCAGCTGGCGGGACACACGGGTGAGCCTGGCGGCGCGAGGGCGGGGCGTCCGGGACGGGAAGGGGCCGAGCAGCGCTAACTGCGCGGCCCCTCAGGGAGCTTCAAGGCGGCCGGCACCAGCGGTCTGATCCTGAAGCGCAGCTCCGAGCCCGAGCGCTCCTGCCTGGCGCGGCTGATGGCCGACGCGCTGCGCGGCTGCGTGCCCGCCTTCCACGGCGTGGTGGAGCGCGACGGTGAAAGCTACCTGCAGCTGCAGGACCTGCTGGACGGCTTCGACGGGCCCTGCGTGCTGGACTGCAAGATGGGCGTCAGGTAGGCGAGCCCTGGAGCGCCGGGCGCCGCCGAGTGGGGGCACGGCCTGGGACGAACCCTCCACGGGGTCCCTGTGCGCGCCCCCCACACAGGACGTACCTGGAGGAGGAGCTGACCAAGGCCCGCGAGCGGCCCAAGCTGCGCAAGGACATGTACAAGAAGATGCTGGCCGTGGACCCTGCGGCGCCCACCGAGGAGGAGCACGCGCAGCGCGCCGTCACCAAGCCGCGCTACATGCAGTGGCGGGAGGGCATCAGCTCCAGCACCACGCTGGGCTTCCGTATCGAGGGCATCAAGGTGGGCCCGGCCCTTCCTCGGCCCCCACCCCAGCACCCCGCCTCCGCGCCCTACCCTTCCCGTTCGCGCACAGCCCACCACCTCTACCAAGGGGGCGCCCCCCGGGCGGCCGTGTCGCCGACCCCAGCAGCCACGGCCCCAGGAAGTACCGCTGCCCTTGCGGGGTCCTTCTCCCCAGGGGGCCTGGGCTCCCCTGACACTTCCTGTCCCGCCTCCTGCAGAAAGCGGATGGCTCCTGCAGCACCGACTTCAAGACTACTCGAAGCCGGGAGCAGGTGATTCGCGTCTTCGAGGAGTTTGTGCAAGGAGATGCGGAAGTGCTGGTGAGCAGGGGGTCCCAGAGCCCAGAGGTGTTGGGGAGCCTTGCCCCTGGTCCTGTGGCCTAGAGCCCTGGCCCGAGTTGTGGCGTGTCCTTGTGTCCTCCATTCCTTCCTTTCCTTTCGGGGGTGCGAGGGAGTGTGTCTTCCTACCAATGTATTTGCTAAGGCAAAAACACACTTCATGCCAGCAGGAGCTCATTCTCTCTTCCCCTCTGCAGAGGAGGTATCTGAACCGCCTGCAGCAGATCCGGGACACCCTGGAGGTCTCCGAGTTCTTTAGGAGGCATGAGGTAAGCGGTGGGCGGACCCCAAGCCCGGGATCACAGAATAGGGGGCTTTCGGAGGAGGGGCGTAGCCTGACGGACTGTACGGTACTCGCAGGTGATTGGCAGCTCGCTCCTCTTTGTCCACGACCACTGCCATCGCGCCGGTGTGTGGCTCATCGACTTTGGCAAGACCACACCCCTCCCTGACGGCCAGATCCTGGACCACAGGCTGCCCTGGGAGGAGGGCAACCGTGAGGACGGCTACTTGCTGGGGCTGGACAATCTCATTAGCATCCTGGCCAGCCTGGCCGAGAGATGAGGCTGGGTCCTTGTCCCCACATGGGCCAGCCGCTGAGACAGACATGGACCTGCGGCTGTGTCCTCACCATGCATGCTGGCCAGAGACTGGACCCCTGCGGTGCAGGGCAGTTCACAGGGTCCTGCAGGACCAGGTGTCAACCAGTAAGGGGCGCATTGCCAGCGGGAGGGGGGTGCCCCAAAAGCCCCTGCGTTCCCACAGAATGACACTAATTTCCCTGAGGAGAGGGGGTAGAGGGCTTCCTCAGCCCAGGCCTCCAGAGGAGGTGCTGCGCCTGTCCAGAGCGGCCAGATCATGACTTTGACTTCCCAGCCCTAGACCTCCTGGTGGAACCTCTCACACTACAATGGACTCCCCCTCCCAATAAAAGGCAAAGCCCCAGCTCCTGGACTCCGGTCTCATCCACCTCCCTTCCTGGTGGACGTGCCCCTAAGCCCAGGTGTCCCTCATCCACTCAGATCACTGGGGGATTCGAGAAGGGCTTTTTATTAGAAGCATCTGCAGGGGTGATGAGGCATGGGGGCCCCGGCCAGGAGTGGCTAAGCTCTCCCCCAGCGGTCCTGCGGCAGGCCCCGGCATGCAGCACAGGCTGCAGGGGACAGAAGCTACTGGGGAACCGGCCGCCTGGTGCCTAGAAGGCCGGGAAGGAGTGTGAGGAGGAGCCGTTGCTGTGGTCAGTGCCCGAGTCACCACCCTCACAGCCCCGTGGGGCCCAGGAGCCGTAGGTAGGGTTCCAGAGGTTCTGCGGTTGGAGGCCCCTGGATTTGAGGGGCTTGAGGCCAGAAGACAACCAGGGGCCAAGAGCGTTCCCTCCCCAGCTCTTCATGTTCTCTGGACTCAGTTCCTGGGGTTGGAGGGCTCTGAGGCCCTCCAAAGCCCGGTTTCCCAGCCCGGACGCCCCTTCCTCCTCCAGGGGGGGCCCCAGCTCCACCGGCAGGGCTGCATTCAGCACATCAGGGTCCTGTGATGAGGGGAAGTGTAGGGGTCAGAGAGCTGCTTTCCAGCTTCTGTCCTAACCCCCAGGAGCAGGCTGGCGCCGGGCAGGGGCACCTGAGTGCAGTACTGGAGCCGCTCCAGGATGCTGGCGAAGCAGGGGCGCAGCTCAGGCTGGTGCTGCCAACACTGGGTCATGATGCGGTACCTGAAGAGAGGCTGCAGTTGGTGCCCACTCATGGTGGGGAGGGCGTCCCACCCGGGCAGTGCTCTCGACTCACACAGGCCCCGGACAGCCCCTGGGAGGGTCCATCCGGCCCCCCGCCACAACGAAGTCTAGCACCTCCTGGTTGGTGCGCCCAGGGTAGGGCATGTACCCCAGGGAGAAGATCTCCCAGAGCAGCACCCCAAAAGACCTGCGTCACAAGTGAGGGGGCAGAAATCAATGAAGCGCAGCAGACGGAGTCCCACCCCCATAGGAGGCAGCCCAGGGCGGGGGCGGTGTGTGATCACCAGGAGTCTGTCTTGGGTGTGAAGATGCCCTCCAAGAAGGCCTCTGGGGGCATCCACTTGACGGGCAGCAAGGCCCGGCCCCCCTTGCGGTAATAGCTGGCCCTATAGAAGGGAGGAGGGTGGCGATGAGCTCTTCAGATACCACCAAGGTGACTGTAAAGCCCCTGGGAGCAGCAGCCTTCCCCTCTTCCCAAGGCCCACACCGGTAGATGTCTCTTGCCATCCCGAAGTCCCCAATCTTGGCCACTCGGCTGGGCCCAGTGCAGCTCAGCAGGCAGTTACGGGCAGCAATGTCCCTGCAAAGCCGAGCCAAAAAAAAAAAAAAAGGAAAAGTCGCTGCCCACAGTCAGGAGCTGTGGAGCTGTGGCCCTTCCTGATGTATTTCGTTTAAAATCTGTAGGGAAGGGAGTTGAGCTGGGGTTTCCCAGGCCAGGATTGCTCCCAACCTGTGGATGAAATGATTTTCCTCCAAGTAGTGGCAGCCCTGGGCTATGTCCTGAGCCAGCTGCAGCAGGTCTTGCATGACCAGAGGTGACGGCTGACCCTGGGAGGGGCAGAGGCTGCATCAGTCCTGTCTTAGGACACGGGGACAGGGTCTTCAGAGGGGCCTGGGGAGCCTGGAGAAGGGTCTCACCAGGTGTGGCCGGCTGTGCCTCAGAAAACTCTTCATGTCCCCGCCAGACATCAGCTCCAGCAGAATGAGGCGAGGGGCAGCCCGCAGGCTGAGCCCCACACACCGCACGATGTTCCGATGGCTGAACTTGCTGCATGGGGCGTGTGCACACCGCAGCACCAGCAGGGAGACAAACCGCACTGTAGACGCCACAAAGCTGCAAAGGCCCTCAGTACCCCCAGCCTCTCAGCCCCAGCGTGGCGGGAGAGGCTCCGCGCTGCCGCCATCCCCCATGCTTTCCGCCCGCCCCCTGGTGCACCTGATGATGAGCGCCTCCATGAGGAAATCCAGCTCATCCTGGCGCGAGCACAGCTCGGGCAGCGTCTGTGGAGGAGGACACAGTTCCTGGGCTCCCTGCACTCTCCAGGAAGGCGGCTCAACACTGGCTCCAGCAACTGTGCTGTGCTTCCTTCCCGCCACGGTGCCCTGCTCGCCCACCCCCCACCAGAAGTATCACCCAGCTTTTTAGAACAGACAAATAAAATAAATCTTGGAGGCAGAGGGACACAAAGAACTCCCATCCTTCTCACCCCCACCCGCCGCCCTGCCTCCAAATGCCAGCAATAGCTTCAGGTTGGAGCCAAAGCAGGGTCCCAGTTACTTGAGCCATCACCTTCTGCACATCAGCAGGAAGCTGGGATCCAGAGCCGGAGGTGTGTGTAGAAGCCAGGCACTGATAATGGGGTGCAAGCATCCTGACATAGGCTCTGCATCTGCCTCCTTACCCTCCCCCTTACCTTGATAGCCACCTGCAGGGGGCTGGAGTCCCCAGGAAGACCAATGACCAGTCCCTCATATACCTCCCCAAAGGCGCCATGGCCCAGAGCCCTGCAGGAAGACAGGATGGCCTGGAGAAGGGTCCTAGAGGGTCTGGGCACCCTTTGTCCCTTGATCTCCCTTGCTCCCTCCTCTGCCCAGCTGAAGGGGGTTGGGGCCAGATGCTCTCTGGGGGTCTATAAGTCAGCGCAGCAGGCAGCAGAGTGGGGTGATTCAGAGTGCAGAGGTTCCCATGAGGAGGTGGTGGTCTCACCTGAGCAGGGTGACGTTGGCTGGGGAAATCTCAGTGAGCCCTGGGGGCAGAGGCCAGGACTGTGCCGGGCCCTGCCCCACTTGACAATAATAGGGATTGGGGGCTGTCCTGATGGCAGACGTTCGGAGCTTGCTCAGCTCGAGCTCAGGGCCTGGCAGCCTCGTCCCCCAAAGGCCCTGCCACTTCTTCTGGTTCACTGGGGACAGGAAGAACAATGACACACCCTCTACCTGCTCGTCAGGCCCACCCTGCCTCCCCCTGCCCAGGACACCTGCCACCCCCTGCCCATGAAGGTGAATGTGCTCCCCAGGCTCCACCGCCACTTCTACTCCTAGAAGCCCTGAGGAGTCCACCACAGCTCCTCTGAGGGGCACGAGAGGGTCTTTTCTAAATGGACTTTATGTGTTTGAAAGGCAAAGTGATAAAGAGAGATCTTCTTGCTCCCCAAATGCCCACAATAAGCTGGGGCTGGGCCAGGCTGAACCAGGAGCCTGGCATTCGGCCTGGGTCTCCCAGGTGGGCCACCTGCTTCCTCCCAGGATGCTTAGTAGCTGGGACCCACCAGGCACTCCCACAGGGGATGCAGAGGTCCCGAGTGGTGTCTTAACCTGCTGCACCACAGTGCCTGCCCCAGTAGGAAGTCCCCCAGCCCACGGAAGCCCATGGCAGTTCAGGGGACGCCTGGAATCAGCTCTGCTGCTAGAAGCTCCATACCCAGAATGAGGATCCCACACACCATAAGGAGGCTCAGTGTCAAGGTCGCCATCACAGCCACCATCAGAACCAGAGGGCCGGGGGGCGCTGGCAGGTCTGGGGAGGAAGAGAGATACCTCAGACTCAGCTCAAGCTTCCACTTTCCCTGACACTTCCCTCAGTTAGCTTCTCCCTCCTGCAGGCCCCTAGAACACTTTGTGCCTCCCACAGCGGCTGGCACTCTGAGATGCACATCCGGGCCTCCCCCTCTGGACTGCAGGCTCCTTGAAGGAAGAGCATGTCTTGCTCCATCCCCAGCCCTCCGCCCTGCCCCCAGCCCAGGGCTTGGCTCACTGCAGGCCCCCAGGCCACGCTTCCTGGTGCCCTACTGCTCAGGAGGCCAGCCTTGGGAAAGGTGGGACATACCCATGCAGGTGATGTTGTCCACAGAGAGCTCCATGCCCTCTGGGCATAAGCACTGGGGCGACTGGAGCGCTGCCTGCCACTGGCAGTCTTTCAGAGGGCAATGGCTGCAGTTGAGGTGCCTTCGGATCTCCACTTCGCCGTGACTCTCCATGACTGTGGGTGGAAGAGCGTGGTGGGGTGAGGACACACATGTTTCCGGCCACATGGGGAATTGGTCTGGCCTGGGATTTTAGAGCAAGGAGCAGCGGCGAGCATACAAGGCTGGTAGAAGGGCCTGGGGGACTTCTGTCAGGCCTGCACACTTTCTCTTCCGCCAACCTTGAGCTGCCAGGTATTTGAGGAGACTTTATATAGCAGCAGCACACTTGCCAAGCTCCCCAGAACGCCTCCTACCGGCAGCACCACTGGCAAATGTTAGAACTGCGTGGGTCACAGTGCGAAGTCAGTATCTCAGGGGAGTGGGCTCAGGGATGGAGAGATGGGGAATCGGGGCCAATACCTGCCAGAGGCTGCAGGTAGAGCTCACTGCTGGGGTGTATGAAGGACACCCCATCTTCCCCATCAGCCCAGAGTGTGTCAGTCTCAGAAGCATCACCCCCTGCGGGTTGAGAGTGATGGAGGGTTTCACTATACAAGGAGAAGTGGGGGAGGGGGAGATGGGTGTGTGTGTGTGTGCACGCGTGTGCATGTGCACAGCTGTCTCACAGCTGGGAAGCTAGAGTCCCCCAGAGGCAGCCCCATGTGGCCCTTTCTGCACTAGCATTGCAATCTAGATGCTCCCTGTCTGCAGTAGGAGCTGCAGGACTAGAGGGGTGGGGAGGCAGGGATCAGCTGACCAGGTAGGCCTGGCTCAGGCTGGCTGTGACATCTGCTTGTCCGAGCCCGTGAGTCCCAAGTCCTCAGCTATAACATAGGAGAGGCCCTACCTACACATGCCATTTCTGTGAGAAGGTACAACTTTTATGGACAGCACACCCAGGCAGAGGCACTGGCTCTCGCATACAAGGAAAGTGACTTTCAAATTCTTTAGTCTTATTTCCTTAACACCAGTGGTTCCCAAACCCTGGATGTTTTGGAATATGTTCTAAGGATCCACCATTCAGTCAGATGGAGGCCATAAGTTCCAAGAGAGCTGCTATGGTGTGACATGGAGACTCCAGGTAACAAGGTATTCTTGAAAACTGTCGCAAGAGTAGATTTTTTATTTTTTTGCCAGGTAGAGTTAGACAGAGAGAGAGAGAGAGAGAGAGAGAGAGAGAGAGTTACAGACAGTGAGAGAGAGACAGAGAGGAAGGTCTTCCTTCCACTGGTTCACTCCCCTAATGGCTGCTAGGGCTGCTGCTGCTTGGATCCGAAGCCAGGAGCTGGGTACTTCCTCCCGGTCTCTCATGCGGGTGCAGGCGCCCAAGCACTTGGGCCATCCTCCTCTGCCCTCCCGGAAAACAGCAGAGAGCTGGACTGGAAGAGGAGCAACTGGGACTAGAACCCGGTGCCCCAACTGGGACTAGAACCCGGGGTGCCGGCGCCGCAGGAGGAGGATTAGCCAAGTGAGCCATGGCACCGGCCCGCAAGAGTAGATTTTAAGTGTTCTCACCACAAAATATAATTATGAGAGGTGGGGCCTACGCTGAGTGGTTTGACTTAGCCACGGAACAGCATGTACATAATAAGTATATGCAATTTTTGTCATTTCAAAATGAAGGCATTGATTCTTTTCAAAAAGAAATGCAAATTCTCGGTCCCTCTCCAACTCAGAAACTCCAGGGAGGAATCCCTGTGATCTTTGCTGTTCGCAGCACCCTGGCTGATTCCGATGCCCTCCAGAGTCTGGAAACCGCCTGGCCTGGGCTCTGCTTCCATAAACACTTTCCCCGTCATCCACCTCCTCACAGGAATGGAATGTGGAGGCTGGGCCTCTCCCATTTTACAGCTGAGCACTGACCTAAACCATCCCTGCCTGTCTGCCTCCCTGCTCGGCTCGCTAACGGCCAGCTTTGGCTGCGGAACGAGCAGGGAATTTGTTGAGATGCAAAAGGTCATGAATTTAAACGAAAACCCAGGGAGTCCTGTTTGCTAGTGGCATCTGCCATCTGAAAAGCTCCTACTCAGTTCGCTTCCGGGAGGAACAGACCTGTTCTGAGGGTCGAACCACGCTTCCCTCCTTGGGGCTGCCCAGCGGCCTCCCCAGCGGTGCACCTACCCTGGTAGCCGCCGCCGCCTCCTCCCGCGGTGCAGGCCCCTCCGCCGCCCCCGAAGCCGCCGGCCGCGGCCCAGCCAAGGGCAGCCCAGGCTTCGGCGCAGCCCTGGCCGCCCTCGGCCCCCTCCCGCAGCGAGTGGCCCGCCTGCGGCGAGGGGGCCCGCGAAGTCCAGCCGCCGCCTCCACCTGCGGAGGAACAGCAGGGTGGCCGGCAGCGGGGATGCGGTGCACGCCCGCCTGCCCGCGGCCGCGCGCCCTCACCTGCCGCCCCGCCTCTCCCGCCGCTCCCGGGCGCTGCTGAGCGGTTCTCCAGTTTCTCGGGGGCGGCCTGAGTCCGGCCTCCGTCCCGCCGCCTCAGGTAGGCCCGACCACCGCCTCCGGCAGCCACTAGCAGCGGCTCCAGCTCGCCCTCGCGCATCTGTGGGGCCAGCCGCGCATTCAGGCGCGCGCCCCGCAGCCGTCCAGGGAGGACCAGGACCCGGGGCTCCGACGAGGACGGAGGGCTCGCCGCTGGGGCCAGGCAGCGGGCGGCCTCCGGGAGCAGACAGAGCGCGGCTGTGCGCGCCTGGGGCAGAGGATCAGGACTCAACCTTGGGCAGTCGGGGCGAGGGCGGCCAGGCCGGGGGCACCTACCTGGAAGACGAAAGTGGCGCCCCCGCCGCCCCCGCCGCCCCCGGCCCAGCGCCTCGACCCAGGCACCGTTTCGGGCCCATCCGTCGCCTCGTGCTCTTCAGCCGCCCAGGACTCTCCGAGGCAGACGCGCCGGCTCTCCGGGCTCCCCTGCGGGCCCCAGGGATCGGGGTAGGCTGAGCTGGCGTCCGCACCCCTCGGGAAGGACCCCCAACCCCAATTCCCACACCGGCCCCCGCCCCGGGCATTCGAGCCGCCCAGGAGTAAGCAGAGCCGGGGACGCTTACGCCGGGGCAGGCGTCCTCTCCCTGCTGCCCCACGAGGATGTAAAGTGGGTCCCCGCGACCCAGCGAGAAGACGGCGGAGACGAAGACGCCGTGTGCCCGCGACAGGTGGTTCTTGGCGCCTTTGCCGCCCGCGGCTCCGTAAGCCGAGATCCTGTGGGACACGACTCTGAGTGCTCCGGCCTGGGTCCTCACGCCCGCTGTCTAGCCTAAAGGTGGGAGCCCGGGGCACCTCCAGGATTTGTCTGGGGGCCATTGAGAGGATGTAGTCAACTCTGAAGGGCTGGGAAGACTAAGTTTGTACACCAACGATTTCGATTTCACGTTTATTTCAGGAGTTAATGGAGACGGGGCAGACTCAAGCCATCGGCGGCTGGTTAGGGACCCGGTACCGGCTGATCGGGTTCCTTAGGAAGGAGAGGCGGTGGGGTCACACAGGTTGGGCCGACATCGCTTTGGAGGACCTCAGAACGCAAGGTCGCCCGAGCTTGACCTTCTTGCCCAATCTGGGGCCTGAGGGTCACCACCCACCCACCGCACCCGCACTTACAGGTATTGCCCAGGGCCGGGCGGTTGCCACAGCTGCACACCTCGCAGCGGCCCCGCGGCGCCCACCGTCACCGCCACGCTGCTGCCCGCGTACGCCCCGTCACACTGCGTTTGTGTGGGGCCGCGTCGGCCGCTGGCCCCGCAGGTGGAGAACAGCCAAGGCCCCTCGGTGCCTGGGAGAAGCGGGAAGGGAGGAGGAGGTCACGGAGCCCCTGGCCCGGCCTGGGAGAGTCTGGGTATGGCGCGCAGAAGAGCAGAGAGGAGCCCCGAGTTCACCTAGGGGATTTAGGGGAAAGGGTGGCTCCAAGCTGCCAGGTCGGGTGGTGACTTTTGGGTCCTGGGCGCTGGGAATGGACAGCGGCCGTGGTGAGGATGGCAGAGAAGGCGCTTGGGACCCCGAGCTGGAGCAGAGAATGGCGCCTGGAAGGTGACAAGGAAACAGCAGTGTTGGGATAGGGAGTAGGATTGTAATGGGGGAGGCGGTAAGAGGGATAACCCCCAACAGCCCGCCCGGATTGCCCGTGGCCACACCCCTAGTCCCGCCCTGCCGATGCCCAATGTCCAGCATGGACGCCGGCGCAGCCCCGCTCCATCCGCCAGGCCCGCGGAGCCCGATACCTCTGCCCGTCGCCAGTGATGACCCGTGGGTCTGCAGGCGCTGCCTGCCTTTTCTGGGCTTGGACTGCGGCCCGCCCCAGGGAGATGCTGAAACCGCCGGGTTTATCCCTCCTTCCCAAGATGCGCGATCCCGCACCCCAGGAGCACAGACCGGAGTGCTTGGGCCGCCAGGATTCCAGGCCTCTGGAGGAGCCACCGGGACCCGGTGTGTGGCGACCGCGATCCCCAGGAGCAGGAAGGCGCCCCGGCCTGAGCGGCCCCCGGACTGCCAGACGGCACTTACCCGCGGCGCCGAGCCACAGCAGCAGCCGGCCCGACCGGCCCATCACCTGTTCCTCGCCGGGGCGGGGGCTGCTGGCTTGGTCCTTCAGCCGCGGCCCCAGTGTCCGGCCGCAGAGATGCCCGGGTACCTAAAGCCGCCTGGCCACGCCCACCTCAGACCCCGGGACGCCGAGGAAGGAAAGGGCGGGGCCTGTGGGCAGCCAGGTCCGCACTCTTCCGGGAGGAGCGTCGCGGGGCTCCGCCCAGGGGCTCCTGCGGGCCGGGGAGGAGGCGCCCCGCCCTCTGGGGGCAGGCGCGTGGGGAAGCCGCAAGCCTCACCCCAGGCACCTGCGGGGGCTTCGGGGTTTCTCAGGACACCGGCAGCGCGGCGTGCGCCTCGATGGTGGAGGTGGTTGAGCTGGACAAGCGCTCTAAAGCGCGCCTAAGAAGGCACCGGCGCTGTGTTTACCCGTGTCTGTCGGCGCCCTGTAAACCACCAGGTACCCCCCAGCTGGGAGGGCTTTCTGTGTTGTCTTCAATCATTTGCCCAAAACACCACCAAAGGCCGATGCCCGTGCTTAATATAACACACTTGAAAAAAAGCCACTATGGTAGTGATTTAGTGTACATCCGCACTGCTGGGTGTAGATGGAACACTGGGTTTTGCAAAACTCTGATACCCATGTGCCGATGTGCTCTGTAGAAAGCCTTCTACAAGGTCACAGAATTGACTTCATAAGGCCTCCATCTATGGCTGGTCCTGGAGAATGGAATCAGCTTCACCTGAGAACCTGTTAGAAATGCAAATTCCCCACTTTCACCCCAGATCTACTGAACCCGAACCTCTGTGGCAGCACTCAGCAATGTTTGTTTTTCAGATGTATTTATTGGAAAGGCAGAGTGAGACATATACATACACACAAAGAGAGAGGGAGAGATGGAGGGAGGGAGAGAGAGAGGGAAAATCTTCCATCCACTGCTTCACTCCCCCAAATGGCTGCAACGGCCAGGACTGGGCCGAGCTGAGTCAAGAACCAGGAACTCCATCCCATTTTCCCAGTGGGTCGCAAGAGCTCAAGGATCTGAGCTATCATCGGCTACTTCTCAAGCACATCTGCAGGAAGCTGGATTGGAAGTGGAGTAGGGGTTGGCATCCTGGCACTTTTGCAGGCTGCAGGCATCCCAAGTGGCTTTACACAGGGCAGCACAACGCCTGTTGTAACGACTGGTTCTTAACATGGTGGTTTGTGACAGGTAAATTTGAGAACCATTGCTATTTGCAAATACAGTAAGTACAAGGTTAATGAAACCTGTTGGACCATTTTGTGTTCAGCAGTTCCATATATGGGGAGGGGTTCTTTCTACCTACTGACAGGATGAGTTAAGGCACATTACACTCACTCTGGTGACCTGCTAACAGTTCTAAGTAATCCACACAGCAAACAACATCAGAAAGCCTAAGTGCTAGAATTCAGAGAAAAGAACCACATAGAAACCACCAGAATAAAGAGGAGTGTCTGAGTGTATGCTTCATCTACCCCTCCCCCATTCTGGCCCACCACCCAGAAAGTTCCCGGTGCAAATGCTGATGCCGGCAGCCACTGCCCCAGTCTTTGTGGCTTCATGTCTCAGGATAGCAGCTGGCACACACACGGGGCCATAAGTAGATGCTGAGCTCACTAAGGACACCTATCCTAGTGGAATGCTGAGTTCCGGAGGGACCCTCATTCCCAAGAGTATTCAGGTACACTGGGGCCCACAGGCTGTTGCCCCCTCCCACTCAGGATTCCCCCCAAACCCCTCCCCCAACAGTCCTGATCCTCCCTGGGGTTAGCCCACCCCTTCATACCAACCCTGGACTAGCATGACAGAAATCAGTTGCAATCCCATTCTAAGGAGGTTTTCAAAACCTTTATTTCAACGCACAGGAACAGTGTCCATATGCTCTGGCCCCGGGGGGAGACTGGGGCAGGTGCGGAGAGGCGCACGCACCCTGTCCCGACTCCAGAGGGAGGAAACGCCTGAGGCACCCTTCACTCCCCACACCCCCCCTCAGAAGCTGCAGCTCCAGCAGGTGTCAGGAGTGGCCTGGCTCCCACTGGTTCCAGCACCGTGTTTCCAGGAAGGCTTGCTCCTTTGCCGCCTGGCCAGGTGTCTGCTGGTGAACCCAGGGGAACGTGGTGTCCATCTCTCCACCCACAGCCACTACACTAGGTCTCGCGCACCCCACTGTGGAGCCCCCCTGAGGTCAGTCTCTGCAGGTACTGCTGCCGCAACGGGGGCAGCTGGGAATACAGCTGGAAGCCTTCTGGGAGGGCGGAGTCGGGAAGCTTATAGTGGAGGAGGTGCTGTCGGAGACCCTGTGGAGAGGGAACAGACTTTATGAAGCGGGCAGTGACACCCTGCTAAGGTCTCTGTCACCCACAGCCCAACCACCTCCTACCCTAGCACCGCCCCTCCCCCCCCCTCTACTCACCTCTTCTGCCAGCAGCCACGTTTTCTGCAGCATGCTCCGGCGGGCAGCCTTTACCTCGTCCTAGACACGAAACAGGCAAAGGTGGCCCTGAGCCAAGGGCTGGCATCCACCACTCGCCCGCGTCACCCCCAGCTCCCACCTAGCTGGCCTGGAGCCAGCCCAATCGCTGGCTCCTTTTGTTACTCTGAAAATGGGGACGTAACTTACTGAGCTCTTTGGGTCCTGGGAGAAGATGAAGCTGTTAACGTGAGCCACAGCCACGGCATAGAGCACTGGGCACCAGTGTGGGCGGAGCGCACCTGTGACCAGGGCCCGGAAGTAGAGCTGGAGGAGGGCCAGGTTGTCTTCAGGAGGTCCCGTGTAGCACTCCAGGGACACAGGCAGCTGTGGTGGGGGGAGAGGCGTGCGAATGGGACGGCGTACCACCCGGCAACATGACGGGGGGTCCACAGTCACAAACACCAGACCAGGAGGGCAGAGGGCAAATACTGGACAGATATTCACCCTCCTCTGGCCCAGTGCAGAGTGCCCCTGGTGGGCGCTGGTGGACTAAGAAAGTACCTGGGTCAGAGGCAGGCTCAGAGCTCGCAGGGCTCCCACATGTTCCCCAAAGAGGGCGAGGCGCAAGGTAACACTGAACCGACGCTGCAAGGGAAGGAGGACCAGAGCCCCGAAGAGGTGGTCCCCAAAGGAGACAGCCTCAAAATGTTCCAGGAAACTGGCGTAGAGGTCAGGAAAAGACGTCAGACCAGGAAGTGGGCAGTCCAGGTTGAGGCTTGGCAAGACTTGTGGGTGACAGAGCCGGGCCAGGAGGGCTGCTACCAGATGCTGCACCGGGGTCTCCCGGAACAGCTCGCTGTCCACCAGGAATACACACATCAGCCTCGCCAGGCGGGCGGCGGGAGGCACGGCACAGAGGGCCTGGGGGCGCCAGCTCTCCAGAACCAGCACCCACTGCAGGACACGCACGGCTGTGGCCACAGTGTCAGTGGGAAGGAGCTGGGAGGGGGAGTCAGCAGCTTGGTGGTAGAGATGGATCAGTGGCAGGAAGGGCCAGTCGGTGGGCAGAAGTGGCTCCTTAGGCACAGGCAGCAGCAGGCTTGGGAGCCGCTGGAGCTCTCCGCGGTACAAGGCCTGAGAGGCCAGCAGGCTGGCTCGGGCCGGCGAGCAGTGGGTCAGGTAGCAGCTGCGGATGCTGGGGAGGTCTTGACAGGCCTGGGCCAGCAGAGCCCCTCGCCGGCTCTGAGGATCCCCGCTGCTTGCTAAGGATAGCTGGTCAGAGAAGTCAGCTGCCTCTGGACCTCCTGCTGCGTTTTCGCTGTAACAGGACCCAAAAGCCAAGGTCGGGGGCTGGCCCCACAACACCCAGAAGGCCACGCCAGCTCTCCAGAGCTTCCCCAAGGCGCCCATGTCCAACCCTGTTCCACTCTGTTCCCCTGGCTCCTCCCACGTAGTCTGGCTAACAGGAGAATGGCCACGAGGGCCAGCTGCCAGGGGGGAAGCTTACAAAAGGGCTTTGTGCCTCAGTCTCCTCACAGTAAGACTACCAGCACCTCATGGCATGGGTGAAATACTTACAAAGGGAGGACCAGACCTGGAGCAGGGACTCGGTGGCTGCTGGCGATCCCATGGGCACTGCTGGTTTCCAACACCAGTTTTTAGCCACATGGTCACACTGAAGTCTCACAGCCACACTCTGTGATGCGGTTAATCTCATCTCTCAAGTTTAGTAATGAGGAAGCGGAAGGTCAGGTTAGGCACAAGCCAGGGAAGGAAGGAAACCTAACCAAATTCAGCACTGCTTTCTTCACCACCACGCAGCTGCCTTTCTAAAAGGGCTGGACTGATGTCACGGGCCTGCACTCACGGGAGGAACTCCAGCCGGAACGCGCAGAGCAGCAGCAGCTCCTGGGCGAGGTGCTCACTTCCAGGCAGCAGCCGGCTCAGCAGGGCCAAGGCCATGCCATGATGCAGGGCGGCACTGGTGGCTGGCATGGGCTGGCACATTGCCTGTGCACAGAAAGGCAGGGAGCAGTTCAGTGTGGGGGTGGGATGTGGGGGACAGGCGAGGGGGGCAAAGCAGAGAGAGGTGAGGGAGGGAGGGGCCATGATGCAGGCTGCAGGGCGCTGGTGCGGGGTGGGGAAGGGGCAGGGTCTGGAGGACAGCAGGGGCTGCACGGGCTGGCAGCAGCAGCACAGGTTTCAGGGAAGCTGGAGGGGCTGAGGGGGTGGGGGCAGAACCCGGCAGACGGAGGAACCCACCACTTTCTGAGCCAGGGCAAGGGCCAGGTATTGCAGATGGCACTCATGGCGCAGGGCCCATGCAGAGAAGGGCGTGAGGGGTGGGGCAGCCCGAGGGGCTATGCACTGGAGGAAGTAGTTCTGGAGGCCTGGGGCAGCCAGGACAGCACCCAGCTGAGGAAAAGCCATTTTGTTCAGGTTTAGTGATTGGTTCTGATGACTTCTGAGGCTCCCCAGGTAGCTGCCCCTCCACCTCCCAGCCTCAGCACTGGCTGAAGCCCTCCCCCTTTCTTCCTGACTCCTGCCATCTTGTCCCCCTGCCCGGCCCTACCCAGGCATCCAGGGCTCGCCTACCTGGCCACACAGCCCCTTGTGGATCCGGGCCAGCGTATCGAGAAGGGAGAGGAGGGCAGTGAGGAACGGGAAAGGCGAGGCTGAGCCGGCCAGGCTGAGCCGGGGGCTGCCTCCCGTGCAGCCCAGTGACACAAGGCTGGGGAGAGCTTCAGGGGCCGGAGCACAGGACAGCGGGTTGCAGAGAGGGGAGCAGGGCCTGGAGGCAGAATGTTGAAGCTGAGGTCTGCCACGGGCATGGCTGTGCGCGTCGTTGCCTGCAGTCCTCAGAGCCCCCACGGCTGCTGCCTGCCAGGGCTGCTCTCAGGCTCCGACCCGCTGCACCCGGGAATGGGCCAGGGAACCGGACCAGGAGTCCCATGGGGAGACAAATGCTTCTCTTCCGCCTGTCGCCACCGCACCCCCCAGCCCCACATGTGGTACATACCCCAGCGAATCCCAAAGGCAGCCCAGGCTGGGTTGGCTCAGCAATGGCAGCAACAGCTCACGTGACAGGCGTTCCATGTCCTCAAGCCAGTCCCCTGGGCACAAGCCTGGCTGGAGGACCAAGGGGTTCACTGAACAGATGGCCCAGGACACTGGGTACGCAAGCAAACCCCACCATTCCAGGTGCCCCAAAGGTCAGCTCTGAGGAGGCTTCTCCATGCTGACCTTTTTTTAAAAAATTAATTAAAAATTTTTTTTTCATTTGAAAGGCAGAGACAGAGACAGAGCTCTCGGATCCACTGATTCCCTTCCAAATGCCCACAACAGCCAGGACCAGGCCAAGCTGAAGCCAGGAGCCCAGAACCCAGTATGGGTCTCCTGATGACAGGGACCTAGCCATTTAAGTCATCATTTGTTGCCTCCTCGGGTGTGCATTAGCAGGAAGCTGGAATCTGAGTGGAGCGAGGACTGGAACCCAGGCTGTCTGATATGGGATTCAGGTGTCTGATATGGGATTCAGGTGTCTTAACTACTGTGCCAATGCCCAACCCCAGGCTGAGCCTTCTGGAGGGAAAGGCACCCAGTGTCTACGGCTGTCGAGAGGCACAGTGACTGCACGAAGGCTGAGGGGTCTCTGGGCCCCAGCAATAAGGTTCCTTGGAAGCTTCAATGGCCTAGGGAGGAAGCGAGAGAACAGGTGGGAGCAAAAAGGTGCAGGGCGGGGTGGCACTGTGGCACTGTGGTTAAGCTGCTGCTTGGTACACCTATACCTCAGGTCAGAGTCCCTGGGATGCAGTCTCACCTCTGCTTCCAATAAAGCTCCCTGTAACGCACGTGGGAGGCAGCAGATGAAGGCTCAGGTACCTGGGCCCTGCCACCCACATGGGAGACCCGGATGTTCTTGGCTCTTAGCTGTGACCTGGTCCAGCTGTGGCTGTTGTGGGCATCTGGGGAGTGAACCAGCAGCTGGAAGATCTTTCTCTGTCTTTCCTCCTTTCCCTGTCACCCAGCTCTTCAAATAGATCAATAAATCACTTTAGGAAAAGGTTGGAATGGGGAGGCAGGAGTAGAGAGGTGGAGGGAGAGGAAGCAAGTGGGAAGAATGCAGATTGAGGCAGGCAGGCAAGACTCACTTGCTGGCTCCAGGCCTGGTAGTAGGTGCCCAAGTATAGCAGGCAGGCGGCTGGCACCGGGCCCAGGGCATTCCACATCTCAGGTCTGGGCAGCAGCTTCAAGGACTGCCTCAGACAGGGCTCGACAAGAGGCTGGAGCCCAGACACCTGCGTCCATGAGATGCAGGAGGAGCGCGCTGACAGGCCGGCCTCAGCAGACTCACTGCAGGAGGGTGATGGGCCGTGGTAAGGCTCTGGCTGCCTCACTTCCCCTCAACTGCAGCCACTCTGTCCTGCGGAGCAGGCCCGCTGGGCTTGGCGTGGCTGGTAAGATATCCCCGCTGGCATGCTCAGGGCTGTGACCTACCTGAGGGGCTCAGGGCGGGTGCCGGCGGCTGCCAGGGTCAGCTGGGTGAGCAGAGTGAGCAGGGAGGCTATCCGCTGCACGGCAAGGGGCGACGGGGGGTGGGCGCCCAGCTCCGTGGGCACAGCCTGCAGGGCCCGCATCAGCACTGGGTAGAGCTCCCTGGTAAGGAACAGTCCCGGACCTTCACTGCACGAAGGGAGCAGGAGAGCAGACCCAAGGCCCTACCTGCAGGAGGCGGCCCCAGGGCCAGGACATTCTCCCCAGGCTGGGCCCTGACAACGGGGAAGGAGGTGGCCCTCTGAGGCTGCCCCCCAGCCCACAGGGAACTTGGAGCTGACTTCTCCGAGGGGCCGAGGCTGCTGTGCACAGAACCCAGTGAAGCGGGTTTCCTCCGCCCCTCTCTGGCTGGTCCTGACTCCCAGCTCTGCTCTCACCCAGCAGAATCCGCACCCCCACCCCCATTCTCTGTCTTCTACCAAGCCGGGGGCCTCCAGCAAGGCTGAGGCAAAGGGGCAGGCCCAAAGGTGGGGTCGCCGAGGGAGGCTGCCCTTGCCTCTCCTCACCTGTACAGGTCACCGCCCTGGCCGTAGGAGGCGGCCACAGCCCACAGACGCAAGGCCTCGGTGCTCAGTGTCTCGGCTTCCTCTGGGGGCAAGGCCAGCTCCTGGGGCGCCTCAGCTACGAAGCGGCACAGGCGGCTCCGGAGATCAAAGTTGTTCAACTAGGAGCAGACAGGGTGTGGGCATGAGGGGCAGCTGGGCGTCCCATGTCCACCTGGTCTCAGCTTCTCCCACCCTGTAGGTGAGCTCAACACGGAGTCCTAGCTCTGGGCAGGGGTGAAATGGCCTCATCCTCTCCTCCCACCCTCTCTTTTTAGCAAGCACTGGGGACTTTTCCTAGGGCCACTTGGATATGGGTGATGAGTTCTATCCGTAAGTGGCTCTCCTGATCTGGGGCCAGGACAGAGAACCTCCACTCCTGCCAGTCCACAGCAGGCCTACAGGGTGCACTGGGCCCCAGCTCACATGGTTCCTGCTATGTTTCTAAGCAACTAGACCAGGGAGGAGGAGGAAGAGGGTATGCGCTGGCCACCAGAGTTTGGAGGCCACACTCAGCTCCAACCCAGCCTGTGCCCGCCCCCTATCCCTCGCCTTGCGTTCTGCGCACCAGCCGGGCAGCAATGTTCCTTCCAGCCGAGGCCAGGACTCGAAGCAGTTTCATGGCCATGGCACAGGGCACCCTGTGCAGGCTAGTCGTGGGACCCACTCCCATGGGGGACCAGCTGGTGGGCAGGAACTCTCGAACTATGGTCTCTATCAGCCGAGGGCACTCTAGGACCTGTGGGAGACAGGAGGACAACCGAAGCAGGGAGGCTGAGGGTCAGGAGCAGCCCCACACTCTGCCCCTCCCCTGCTCTCTCGTCTCTCACCCTCGTGGCTGACTCCAGGGAATGCCGGGCCAGGCGGATGAGCACGGCCAGGATGTCGAGGACCACCGCAGGTCCTGGGCAGGTCACCTCCAGCACATAGCGCAGCCGAGGCAGCAGGTTGGTAGCCAGGAGCCCCTGGGGGTGAGACAAACCTGTGCCAAATGCAGCCGAGCCCCGAGCCTTGACGATGCCTCTCACCGTACATGCTGGCTCTAGGTTACAGGGTGGGAAGGCGGCGTTCCCCTTACCTTGATGACGTCATGTCGGGCCAAGTCGGGTGGGGGCCGTCTTTCTTCTTCGGGGCTCTTCCCTTTTGCTTTTTCTCCTGGCGGTTCTTGGTCCTCGTCCTCGTCCTCCTTGTCCTCCTGGCTGGGCATCAGAGGGAATACCAGTGCTCCGTGGTACCAAGAGAAAGTTTTGTCCAGGAGCTCCTGCCACAGGAAAGGAAGCAGGGATTGGGGGAGGGAAGGGGCCAAGGGTGCAGAGTGGGGGCCCCCGCCCCCAAGAGCAGAGAGGCAAGGTTCCTGGGTGTAGGGACCCTCAGGAGGAAGCAGGTGCCTGCAAAGCAGGCCCAGCATGAGGAGTGGAGACCTTGGCCCCACGAGCCCCATTCCCATCCCTGGGGCACCTCATCTCCAGGAGCAACCAGCAGAACCCGGAGAGCCCGGACAGCAGCCGCAATGACCCCATCCACTCTGTCGTCCAGGGAGAAGCGCAGCAGGAAGAGGAAACCAGCATCCAAGAGGAGGCGTAAGACACTGCCCACGAGCTGGTCCCCAAACTCACCGGCCTGGGCCTTGGTGGCAAGAGGAGAGAACTTTGCTGAAGACGCTGAAGCTTCACGGTCTTTGCCCCAACCCCTCCACCTGCCCACTGATCATGGATGACCTGGAGTTTATCCCAGTCTGAGGCACAGTCAGCTGAGCCAGAGTGAAAAGGGGCAGGAGGTGGGGAAGTCCAAGGTCACAAGCAAGGGGAAAGGGTGAGGGGAGCTGGAGGGGCCAGCAGTGCACTCACCCTGCCGATGACCTGGGACAACACTTGCAGTGCTAGTGTTCTCTGCTGGGACACCTGGCTACGGCTCAGGTGGAACAGCTCCTGTAGAGAGTACCCTGCTCGCTGGGGCAGGGGCAAGAAGTCAGAAGAAGCCAAGACCTAGGGCAGTGCCTCAGAAGTACTCAGCAAGGTGCCATAGGAGAGATAAAGGTGACTAAGTGATTCCCGGGCCCTGCTCTCCAGGGAGCCTCAGGCTGGGACAGAAGACAGAACTGGCTCACAGGTCAGCAAGGCAGATGGAGGATGTAGCCATGGACGTATCACATGCAAGCAGAGGACAGCAGCAGGGGGCTGCACAGGGGATGTGGCCTCAGTGGACGGGTACAACTTTGGCGGCACAGCCTGCAGCAAAGGGAAAGACCTCCCGTGCAGTAGAGGTCCCTGAGCACAGGGGCCTGGAGGGAGGAGCCAGCACAGTGGTGCAGCAGGAGCAAGGAGATGCAGCTGTAGGACCAGCAGGGCCAGACTGGAAGACTGAGGGCCAGGGCCTTATCCTGCGAGCAGAGCAGGGCAGGATACCTTCCGAGGCAGGGCATGGCCTGAGCTGAGCCAGAGGAACTAGCCGAGCAGTCCCGTGAAGGAAGCAATGGCTGGGGCACAGTGTGGAAGGCATGGTGACTGAGCAGACACGAGTCAGCAAGGGAGCACCACAGGGAGGCGACAGAGTGGGCTGGCAAGTTTTGGCAACGACCGGAATGGGAGAGGAGAGGAAGAAAAGCAAGATTTTGAGGCTACAAAACCACATAGACAGCATGGCCATGATGGGGCACAGGGTACACAGAGGTCAGAGGCCACCAGGCAGAGGTCGTCCTCTTCCACGGGCGGCTAAGTCCTCACCTCCGCCTCCTCTCCATGGTGGTGCAGGCCCAGATGGGTGGGCAGATCCACATCAGGGGCCAGCAGCTCTCCCTGAAGACTGAACCGGGCCTGCATCCTCTGACAGGAAGAGACAAGGGACAGGGGCTGGGGCAGCGGCCCCCTCCCCGACCCCATCCTCGCCTGAATCCCAGGCCTCTCAGGGCTCAGGTGCTGAGGCTACTTATGGAAATGGGGCTCGTCTCGCCTTGGGCCAGACAGAGAGGTGGGAAAGGAGGGCCGGGGAGAGCTGCTTCTCAGGTTTAGGGCCTGAGTTCTGGGTGCAGGGGGGCTGACCACACCCACCCCGGCCACCCAGCCCTTGTGGGCCAGCTGGCCCTTCCCACCTCCTGCGTCTGCTGCCGGCGGAGTGGGGGCAGGTCCTGGGTCCAGTGGAGCTTCTCCAGCTCCACGGCGTCCATGTGCAGCCACTCTTTGTGGGGAGTCACGGGCAGGGCCAGAGCTGGGGAGGAGCAAGCACACAGTACTGCCTAAAGGACTCACTGTTCACAGGGCGCCCCGCCATCACCCGGCAGCTGCCATGCCCTCCTCTGCCTCCGATCTGGCAGCTTCTACCATGGTGTGGCTAACCCACATGGCCAGGGGGCTGGGAGGCCTGGGAAGCAGGCATACATCTCCCATAGGGAAGCACAGCTAGTCCTGGGCTCAAGCCCCTTGCCGACTCCATGGAGGAGGAGGAGGAGAGGAGAAGGGCGTGGGGAGGAGGAACACAGGATGCATCTCTGGGAAGCAGAGCTCTCCACTCCAGCACCAACATGCGACAGGAGCAGGGGAGTGGGGACAGCGGGGCAGGGGCAGCTGAACTGCTCTGGGGGCAGCATACAGAAACTGCCCCCCAATATCCTCCTTCTTAACCCCTACTCCCACCCAACTGGCTCAGCTGGCCCAGACCTCCTCCGGGGGCAAGAGGTTCCTGGCTGCCGTAATTCAATTTCTTCTTTTGTTAATCCCTAATGAAATAATCGAGTTTCTGGGAAACGAGTGCTTTTGCTGGCCTCTCTGCGTCTGGCCCGGCATGTTCATCAGCCTCCGTCACACTCGCCCTCTCCCATCCACCTGCCTTGCCATCTTCCTCCGGCACAGAATGAAGGGGCAGAATGAGCTACGGGACGAGAGAGCCAGAGCTGGGGAAGCTACAGCAAAGGCAGGGATGGGGCTACGTGGCCATGCTGCCCTGTGGGCCCTCGCTGGGCTGGGGGAGAAGGGGCAGTAACAGGACAGAATACAGGAAGCATGTGCAGGAAGAAGACAGGCATCTAATTTGAGGCCAATTTAAAGCCAATAATGAGGATTGATGTTACAAGTCCAAGGGAAAAGAACCTTCTCTCTTCTTCCATTGGCCAGGCCTACACTTAGCCACCAAAAGATAGTCCCCCTCCTCCAAACCTGGGGCTCCTGGCTCCAGCTCGTCTTCCTTCCTGTGCTCACTGGCAGAAGGCGACACGCGGGCCTCCTCTTTGGTGACATCCACAGAGGCTCCTCCTAGCCTTTGCTCCTCGGTGGCCTTCTCTGCTGCCTGCTCACGGGTGCAGCTGCGAGATCTCAAGAAAGCAACGAGGCTGGGGTCTGGAGGCACAGGTGGAGGGGGAGTGAGTGAGGCAGGTCCTCCCCAGCTCCCACAGACCCGGCACCTGCTGAACACCACCTGCCCTGGGGTGCCAAGGTCAGCAGGTGCACTTCCCAGCCCTGCCCTGGGCTGCCTGGGCTCTCCTGCAGCCCTTCAGTGACCCGGTCTTCTCACACCTGTCCCTCTACCTCCCACAGTGCCTCAGCCCAGGTTCCTGTGCCTGTCTCTGTGTCGGCTCCAGGTCACAGGTCCCAAGGAAGTGGCTATGGAGCAAATGAATGGATGTTGACTAGGGCGAGAGGAAAGGCATTTAGGGGAACAAGTTCCCCCCTCTTCTCTCAGCTCATTTACTCAGGTACCTATTATTTACTGAGTACCAAATGAGTACTGTGCTGTCACATAGTGACCCATGGTGGGGGACAGGACCGGCGTTTGCATGCACAGAAACCAGGGGGAGGTGGAGTACGGGACGGTGCCACGTAAGGAAACGCTCTGTCCTCGTACTGAGAGTGGCTGTTCTAAGGCAGAGCGCACTGTCAGGGTAGCCGTAATTCACGGCACGGCTCAGAGCAGGCCTGTGAGGCCTCACAGACCCGGCTGTGTTCCTTGGCTGGGAGCCTGGGGAGACTACCTTAGTGCTGAGCCGCAGCTTTTCCTTAAGTAGCATGAGGTGGACCCCACACCCTGCCCCCAGCGGACCAGTGTCGGGACAGAATGGAATAAGGCACAAAAGTCGCAGCACAGCGCCTGGCCCGCCCGCTGAGCCTTCCTCAAGCTGCGCAGGCCAGCTCAGCAGAGCCGGCGCCTCACCGAGCTGCGCCAGCAGCCGCTGCCGCTCCTGCACGATCTCCTCAGGAGCCATGGCTTGCAGTCGCGCTATGTTCTCTTCATGGATGGTCCAGGCTTCCTGCTCAGCCTCCTGGTCCCTGAGTCCCTTCCCAGTGACCAGGCGGGGTCCCTGGAAGCTGTGGCTGCTTCCTGGAAGCCGGCAGCCCTGGTCCCCGGGAGCGGGTGCCTCACCGGTCGCAGCCCCTGGACAGAGTGCATGATTGGTGTCACGGCCTGCCCTCCTGGCTCTCACCAGACCTCGCAGCCCCTTCTGTAAGTCTCTCAGCCCCGGAGACGGGTGCAGGGCCCTGGGCTGTCCTGGGCACAGGGCTCCAGGCACTCCGGGGGCATGGGCGGCTCTTCTACCCATCCTTCCCCTCGGACCTTCAAGAAATGGTTTCCCTCAGAAACAGCCTCGTTTCTGACCCTGCCCTTGGAGGTCTACACAGCCGGCCACACCAGGAACTTGCCCCGTCTCACCTGCAGGTTAACCTGCCCCGTGAACAGACACTTTATTTTCCGTCTTTGTTTTACAGTCTCCGCCTGACACTTCTGCCCCCTTCCCTTTCTCGCTGGGTTGCATAATGGCCCAGGCCCTTCCCTGCGCCTAAGACCCAGACGTGGGCCCCAGCACCCAACACTCAGTACTCCAGGTGGAGACACGGGATGACTTTCTCTCGTGGTAGTTCAAATGCACCTCCCATCTGAGGCCGGGGAGACACATCATCAAAAACAACTGGACAATCGTATCTTCCAGAAAGGCCAAGCCCAAGCGTCCTCAACCCCAGCTCACCCTGAGGTGGGTCCAGGTGGGACGTGACCTCCTCGACCGGGGGGACCCCGGGTGCAGACGCCCGCCTCGCTGCAATCTCCTGGGCAAAGATGCTTCTCTTGCCGCCCAGCGCTGGCCTCTCCTACGGGGTACAAAACCCCAGGTTGCTGACGTGCCTTATCCCCCCTCCCCTCAGCTGCTCCAAACTGAGGTCATAACAGCATAGAGCTAGAAGGGAGCTCTGCCCCACCCCGCCCCAGGGGTCACAACCCTAGTTCAGAGAAAGAGGACAGGAGCACAGGTCTTGAAATCTAACAGATGTGGCTTAAGTTCTAGCTCTTCTACCGAGAAGACGTGCTGTGCGAGCCAACCCGTGTGTCACTTTGGGACAAGCTGTTTTCTTATCTGAGCCTCCCAGAGCTGTGACGAGGACTAAGCGAAGGCGTGTGTATGAAGTGCTCGGCACGGTGCTGCTTTAGAAGCAGATCTGCTTATCATGAAAGCGATCCACCTGGAGACACGCACTGTGAGACTCCTCCCACTGCGCCCCCGCACCACCCTAGGTCACCTGCCTACCTGTCTCTCCTGTGAGCGATGGAATACTGGGGGGAAGGCAACACCACTGGGCACAGGCAGCTTCACAGCCACTGAACTTGTATCTCGTTCCTGTAACAACAAAACACAAGGCAGTGACAAGGTAGGGACTTGGCCAGGCTGGACGCTATCCCACCAGCCCCGGTTCTATATGGCAGGAAGCTCACTCTGTGGGGTCAGGAATCCATCTTGCTCAGGGCACAGTGACCCTGGTCCCCAGACTTAATGCATGGAGAAAAGTCACCCTTCCACCCTTCCTTCCTTCCTTCCTTCCTTCCTTCCTTCCTTCCTTCCTTCCTTCCTTCCTTCCTTTCTTTCTTTCTTTCTTTTAACAGGCAGAGTGGACAGTGAGAGAGAGAGAGACAGAGAGAAAGGTCTTCCTTTGCCGTTGGTTCACCCCCCAGTGGCTGCTGTGGCCGGCACACCACGCTGATCCAAAGCCAAGAGCCAGGTGTTCTCCTGGTCTCCCATGCGGGTGCAGGGCCCAAGCACTTGGGCCATCCTCCACTGCACTCCCGGGCCACAGCAGAGAGCTGGCCTGGAAGAGGGGCAACCAGGACAGAATCCGGCGCCCCGACCAGGACTAGAACCTGGTATGCCGGCACCGCAGGTGGAGGATTAGCCTATTGAGCCGCGGTGCCGGCCAGTCAACCTTTCTTTTAAAAATGTTTTATGAAGGCAGAAAGAGAGAAAGAGATATAAGGTTCACTCCCTATTGACTGCAAAGGCCAGGGCTGGGCCAGGTTGAAGCCAGGAACCCAGAACTCAATCCAGGTCTTTCATGTGGATAGCAGGGACCCAAGCCCTTGAGCCACCACCTGCTGCCTCCGGTGGGTGCATTAGCAGGAAAGTGAATCAAAAGTGGAGCCAGGACTCTAACCCAGACACCCTGACAGGGCATATGGGCAGCTCAAGCAGCACCTTAACCACTGAGCCAAATGCCCACCCCAAGCCCCCCTTTCTGAAGACCCCCCACTCAGAAGGCTCATCCCTGCTGCCCCAGGCCACCTCGCCCCCTCAGCCAGGTGAGACGCACAATGATCTTAGTCAGGACTGCAGTGATGTGCCGATCGTGCCTGCTCAGCCTCTCCTCGGGGTCCTCTTCCACAGGCAGGGAGTGGCCGGGGCTGGGCCTGGCTCTCTTTGGGGGAGCAGGGACCAAAGCTGGAGGCAAATCCGGGAGAGCTGAAAAAGGATAACACCCAGAGGTGCAGATGGTCATGCCTTCCCAGGAAGACACTGAGAGTGAGGGGGACCAAACAAAGGCAGCCGCCATGAGGCTGTGGCTCAAGCTGTGCTGCCTCCAGGGGTCTCGGGTTCTTCATTTGTAGGATGGTGCCGACCTAGAGGCTATGCACCGTCTCCAGTAATGAGGGGGAGGCCCCTGCTCGGCTGCTTCTGCTCCTCCTCTGCCCCGCCCTGCCCTGCAGGTACTCACTGTCCAGCGTCACCACATCCCGAGCGTCCTGCAGTTGCGGCTGGTCCCGGTTGGCATCGCCACCTCGCCGACTTCCTTTCTTCACCAGTTGTACCGCTGGGGCTGTGCCAGCGGCGAGAAACTGGCTCTGGAAGCGCAGCAGGTCCACCTCGGACTCCCCAGGCTTGGGTCTCGACAGCATCTTGCCGCTCCCGCTGCCTCCCTTGCACGGCTTCCAAGGGGGCCTCCCTCTCACTCACCCCTAGGAGCAGTGAAGAGAGTGGGCCTTCGGGGGACTGAACCCGAGCCTCTGAACTCACCCCTCCTCCATCCCGCCTCAGCGCCACTCCCTCCCTCTTCAGCCCTCTCTGATGTCACCAGCCAGGCAACAGCATTTACAGCCAGCTCAGGCTGTTTACAATCTGTGGGTGACAAAACTCTGGAAACAAACCAGCAGGAGAGCTGAGGCAGATGCCATCAGGACAGGCAGGTAAGTCTGTAGGGCGGTGGAGTGGGGGGCACTCGGCGTGGAGGTTAAGACACTGGTGGGGACGCCCACATCCACACTGGAGCGCCTGGGTCTGAGTCCAGCTCTACTCCAGACTGGGTCCCTGCCTCCCGTGTGAGGGACCTGGATTGAGTTCCTGGCTCCCAGCTTCGGCCTGGGCCGCTGCACGTATTTAGAAAGTGAACCAGGGAATGAGAGCTCGCTCTATCTCTGCCTCTCAAAAACAAACGAACCAAAAACCTGCCTGTCGAATAAATCAAAGTATTCGAATTATTAAAAAACTTTGAGCTGTAAAGATCACTTGCATGTCTATATACTAGCCAAGAACAATGAGAAAATGGAATTAAGAAAATAATTTCATTACAAGACCATCAAAAAGAATAAAATACCTCAGAATAAATATAACCAAAGAGGTTTAAGACTTGTCCGCTGAAGGCCATAAAACACTGTTGAATTAAAGAGGCCTAAACAGACAGAAAGACATCCTGTGCTCACGAATTGGAAGGCTTAATATTATCAAGATGGAAACACTGTCCGATCTCCAGATTCAACGCAATGCCTTTCAAATTCCAACTGTCTGTTTCTGCAGAAACTGACTATTTGATCCTAAAACTCATATGGCAATACAAGGGACTCAACTAGCCAAAAATATCCTGACAAGGTTGGAGGCCACATACTTTCCAATTTCAAATACAAAGCTATTGGCATCAAGACAGTACTGACATAAAGACATACAGAAGGAATTGAGAGTCCAGAATAACTTCACAGATCTATGGTTAACAGATTTCCAACAATAATAAGATTGTCAAATTGGGAGGCCAGTGCTTTGACAAAGCGGGTTAAAGCCCCAGCCTGTAGCACCAGCATCCCATATGGGCGTCAGTTCGAATCCCAGCTGCTCCACTTCTGATCCTGCTCCCTGCTAATGGCCTATGAGGCAGCAGAGGATGGCCCAAGTCTTTGGGCCCCTGCACCCATATGGGAGACCCAAAAGAAGCCCTTGGCTCCTGGCTTCAGATCAGCTCAGCTCCAGTGGCTGCGGCCATCTGGGGAGTGAACCAGCAGGTGCAAGACCTTTCCTCTCTGTCTCTACATATCTCTGTCTTTCTTTAAAAGAAAAAAAATTTTTCAAATGAGGAAGAACAGTACAGGTTGAATGTCTCCTATCTGAAATGGCTGGGATCTGAAGTAAATCATATTTTGGAGTTTTTTTTGGATTTTGGAATATTTGCAAATACTTAACCTGGCTGAGTACATTGATGTTCAAAAAATGTTGGAATTTGGGCAAGTATTTGGCCTGGTGGTTAACGCAATGATCAGGATACCTGCATCCCACATCTGAGTGTCTGAATTAGATGGCTGGCTCCACTCCTGACTCCAGCTTCCTGCTAATGCAGACCCTGGGAGCTGACAGTGATCACTGAAGTAATTAGATTCCTGCCACCCACGTGGGCGTTCTGGTATGGGTTCCTGGCTCCTGGTTTCTGCCCTGGCCCAGACTGCTGTCAGCAGTTGGGGAATGAATCAGCAGAGAAGAGCTCTGCATCTCTCTGCCTCTCAAATTAAAAAAAAAAAAAAAAAAAAAAAAAAAAAGTTTCAGATTTTGAAGGTTTTCAGACTTCAGATCGTCAGATTAGGGACACTCAGACAACTGGACAACCATATGCAAAAGGATGGTCCCTCACCTCATATCATATACAAAAACAAATCCAAAATGAATCAAAGACCTAAACATAAAAGCTAAAATTACAAAACTCTGCGACCTCAGATTAGGCAACAGCTTCTTAAATACAGCACCATGGGGCTGGTATTGTGGCACAGGTAATCCTCTGCCTTTGGCAACGGCATCCCATATGGGTGCAAGTTCTAGTCCCAGCTGCCCCACTTCCAGTCCAGCTCTCTGCCATGGCCTGGGAAGGCAGCAGAAGATGGCTCAAGTGCTTGGGCCCCTGCATCTTCATGGGAGACCAGGAAGAAGCTCCTAGCTCTGGATTGGTGCAGTTCAGGCCGTTGTGGCCATCTGGGGAGTGAACCAGCAGAAGGAAGACCTTTCTCTCTGTCTCTCCCTCTCACTGTCTGTAACTACCTCTCAAATAAATAAATAAAATCTTAAAAAAAAAAAAAAAGCACCAAATGCAACCAAAGAAAAGACAGATAAATTAGACTTCATCAAAGTTATACTTTTGTATATCAAAGATCATTACCAACAAAGTGAAAAAATAACTTGGAGAATGGGAGAAAATATGTGCAAATCATATAACTGAGAAAGGGCCGTATCCAGAATATACAGAGAACTTCTACAACTCAAAAATTAAAGACAACTCAATTAAAAAATGGGCAAAGGATCTGAATGGATATTTCACCAAGGAAGATACATGAATGGCCAACAAGGACATGCAAAGATTCCATATTCATCTTTAGTCATTACAGAAATGGTGTAGTGGTTAAGATGCTGCTTGGGAAGCCAACACCCCATACTGGAAATGGAGTGCCTGGGTTCAAGTCCTGGCTCCGCTTCTGATTCCACCTTCCTGCTGATGTGTACCCTGGAAGGAAGCAGGTGACAGTCCTTGCCACCTAGATGGGGGGCCCTGATTGAGTTCCAGGCTCCTGGCTCTGGCTTGGCCCAGTTCCAGCTGTTGTGGGCATTTGGGAAGTGAACCAGTAGATGAAAGGTATTTCTTTCTTTCTAGGTTACTCTGTCTTTCAAAGAAACAAGTCTTTTTAAAACAGGGTGGGGAGGGGAGAGATGACAAGTGTTGACTGAGGTATGGAGAAAATGGCTCCCTCACACAATCCTGGTGGGAATGTAAAATGGCACAGCTGCTAGGGAAAAACAGCTTGGCATTCCCTCAAAAAGCTAAACACAGACCTACCATATGATCCAGCAATTCAACTTCTAGGTATATACCGACACAAACAAAAACATATGCTAACCAAAAATATGTACCTAAATGTTCCGAACAGCATTATTCATAACAGCCGAGGTTGAAACAATACGAAGGTTCATCAAACTGACCAACAAATGAAGAGTAGTATATCCAGGTAAAGGGATAGTGTTGGGAGATACAAGGTATAACATGCATGGATCTTGTAAACATTATGCTAAGTGAAAGAAGCCAGTCATAAAGGGCCTTATCATGTATGGCTCCTTTCATATGAACTGTCCAGAACAGATAAACCAACAGACTGAAGACACAGCAGTGCTTGCCCGGGGTGGGAGTTACAGGGGAGAGGCGATTGACTGCTAAGGCATGTGAGGCTCCTTTTGGGGATACCCAAAATATTCTAGATAGTGACATTGGCTGCAACATGGTGAATGTACTCAAAAGCATTCAATCATTTAGCTCAAAAATCATGGCATGTGAATTAGATCTCAATTAAAACAAAAAACAAATTCGGGCTGGCCAAGCAAAATAGGTCTGCAAGCCGTCCGACTAGTCTGCAGCTCCTGAGCTAGATGCTAACAAGAAAATTCTCCTTGTCATTATTCTAACTCTGGCTGCCCCATACTGAGCACTTGGGCCACACACTGTTTGCAGTACTTTTGCTATATTCATGCATTTGATCCTCGTGGCAACCACAGGAGGCAGGCCCGGTTTATCACTCATGGTTGACAGGTGAGCAGAGGGGCTGCTGAGCAGCTCAGTCATTGGCCCAGGTCTGAGTCAGTAAGCCGCAGGACTGGGATTTGGCATGCAGGGTCAGTGTGGATGCTCAGCCACTTTTCCACTGCCCAGGGCTGTGTGCTGCTGCAGGGTCCTGAAGTCTGCACCAGTGGGAGACACAGGCTGATATGGCTCCCCGAGGAACAAAAGCCAGAACTGCACTGGGGCTTCTCAGCAGGGATTACTGACTTTGGGGGCAGATAAGTCTATTTGAAGATTTATTTATCTGAAAGACACAATGACAGAGGTGGGTAGTGGAAAGAGATCTTCCATCCACTGGTTCACTCCCCAGTGACCAGATTGAAGCCAGGAGCCAGAAGCTTCATCCAGGTCTCCCACCTGGGTGCAGGGGCCCAAGCACTTGGGCCATCTTCTGCTGTTTTCCCAGGCACATCAGCAGGGAGCTGGATTGGAAGTGGAGCAGCCAGGACTTGAACAGGCTATTACGCCACAACACCGGCCCCTCCCTCCCTCCCTTCATCCACTTCTAAGCATGATCAGAGCTAATAACTAGATCAGTACTGGAAACACCCCTCTCCCCCATTAACATATGGTGTATGGGGGGGGAGTACAAGGTGGTAAAATGGGTAGATACCGCCAAACAATCACACTAGAGTGTGACTTTAAGAATATTATCAAAGGGCCAGCGCTGTGGTGCAGTGGGTTAACGCCCTGGCCTGAAGCACTGGCATCCCATATGGGCACCGGTTCAAGACCTGGCTGTTCCACTTCCAATTCAGCTCTCTGCTGTGGCCTGGGAAAGCAGTGGAGGATGGCCTAACTGCTTGGGCCCCTGCACCCGCAAGGAGACTTGGAAGAAGCTCCTGGCTTCGGATCGGCGCAGCTCCAGCCGTTGCGGTCATTTGGGGAGTGAACCATCGGTTGGAAGACCTCTCCCTCTCTGCCTCTTCTCTGATTTCAAATAAATATAAATAAATATTTTAAAAAATTAAGAATATTATCAAAAACTTTTTTGAAAGTTTACTCTGGAGAGAGGGGTGTACAAGGGGCTATAAAGACAAAGAAACTAGGGGCCAGAGTTGTTAAAGCCCTGGTCTACAGCTCTGGAATCTCATATGGGTACCAGTTCAAGTCCCAGCTGCTCCACTTCTGGTTCAGCTCCCTGCTAATGTGCCCAGGAAGTCAGAAGAATATGGCCCAAGTCTTTGGGCCCTTGTACTCATGTGGGGGACCTGGAAGAAGCTCCTGGCTCCTGGCTTCAGATTGGCCCAGCTCCAGCCAATGCAGCCATTTGGGGAACGAACTAGCGGATGGAAGACATCTCTCGCTCTCGCTCTCGCTCTCTCTCTCTCTGTTCTACCGCTCTTTGTAACTCTGCCTTTCAAATAAATAAAATAAATCTTAAAAAAAAAATATGGGGCTGGTGCTGTGGTGTAATGGGTAAAGCTGACGCCCGCAGTGCCAGCATCCCATAGGGGCGCTGGTTCGAGTCCTGGCTGCTCCACTTCTGATCCAGCTCTCTGCTATGGTCTGGGAAGGCAGTAGAGGATGGCTCAAGTCCTTTGGCCCCTGCACCCACGTAGGAGAGCCAGAAGAAGCTCCTGGCTCCTAGCTTTGGATCAGCACAGCTCTGGCTGTTGTGGCCAACTGGGGAGTGAACCAGTGGATGGAAGACCTCTTTCTCTGCCTCTCTGTAGCTCTGCCTTTCAAATAAATAAATAAATCTTTAAACAGATAAATAAAGACAAAGAAACAAAGGTAAAATGTCAGCCATGAGTTCTAAGGGGCTGAGTCAAAATTTTGAGTCTTTTTTTGGGAGCTCTGAGGCATTATATTGTAAAAGCGAGTACTCGGATGTATAAACAAACATGATAAAAACTCAGCATACATTTACTTCAGTTTTTAGCTCTACCTCCTAGTAAATCTTTGGCATCACTGAGTCTGAATGCTATCCAAGGAGTCCTCCTCTCTCTCTTTTTTTTTTTTTTAAGGCATGGCCTAAGCTGCCTTCTGCCTTCATCGTTAGATATCTACCATATTAGTGGTGTTTTCTTCTCTCTTTCTGTCGCTATTATTTATTTAAAAAGGCAGAGTGAGAGTGAGAGTGAGAGAGAGAGAAATCCTACCCACTGGGTCACTCCCCAAAGTCCCCCAACACCAGGGTTGGGTCAGGCCAAAGCTAGGAGCTGGGACCTTATTTAGATCCCTCACTTGGGCAGCAGAGACTCAGCTACTCAGGCTATCAACTGCTACCTTCCAGGGTCTGTATGAGGAGAAAGCTGGAATCTGAGATACAGCTGGGGTTAGAACCCAGATACTCCAACATGGGTCCCAGGTACCCCAAGCTGGGTCTTTACTGCTGTACCAAATGTCCCCACACCTACTCCACTGCCATTTGAGTGATTTAAGAGCATAATTTGCTGATAATCATATTTTAAAAGTATTTTTAAAGATTTATTTATTTATCTCAAAATCAGAGTTACAGAGATAGAGCGAGAACTTCCATCTGCTGACTTATTCCCCAGATGGCCCCAACAGTCAGCACTGGGCCAGGCTGAAGCCAAGAGCCAGGGGCTTCATCTAGATCCCCCACGTGGGTAGCAGGATTGGGGGTGGGGTGGGGGTGTTGCCCACTGCCTCTCCAGGCTACTAGGGAGCTGGACTGGAAGTGGAGCAGCCAACACTGGCCCCAGCATCTTTTATTTTTTCTTTATTGGCAATAGGGATTACACCTAGATTAACCTTATTTCTCATTTTGTCATTTCTTTCTTCATTTTTTAAGATTTATGTATTTTAACGTCAGAGTTACAGAAAAAAAGAGGCAGAGGCAGAGAGAAAGAGAGAAAGAGAGAAAGAGAGAAAGAGAGAGAGAGAGAGAGAGAGAGAGAGAAAAGAGAGTGATCTTTTATCTTCTGGTTCACTCCCCAAATGGCCACTACTCTCAGGGCTGGGCCAGGCCAAAGCCAGGAGCCAGGAGCTTCATCTGGGTCTCCCACATGGGTGCAGGGGCCCAAGGACTTGTGCCATCTTCTACTGCTTTCCCAGGCACATTAGCAGGGAGCTGGATCAGACGTAGAGCGGCCAGGACGTGAACCAGTGCACACATGGAATGCCGACAATGCAGGCAATGGCTTTACCAGCTACACCACAGTGCCAGCCCCCAATGTTGTTATTCTGAATCCAACCCAGCTCTGTAAGAGGCATCACTGAAGGCAGACTTTGGTAGACTTCAAAAAATTTGTTTTACTTGAGGTTCCACATGCTTCATGACTTGCAAAATTTAACTACCTGTGTTCCTGCGGCAGTGATGATCAATATGATTGTTGATCCACCCTTAAATAAATAAATAATTCTTTAAAGAAATAAAAAAAGACATCTGCATCCCTTATGGTTGACTCTAGACTCCAGCTTCATGCTCTTGCAGACCTTGGGAGGCAGCAATGATGGCTCAAGTAACTGGGTTCCTGCCACTCACGTGGGAGACCTGGACTGGGTTCCTGGATCCAGGCCCACAGGCATTTGGGGAGGGGACCAACAGATGGGAGTGCTCTCTCTTTCTGTCCCTCTGAATCTCATATAAATAATGATAATTTTTAAAAGTTCTAATTATTTCGAAGGTAGATTTATTTTGGTGCAAAAAAATTGAAACCCACGCATCCTTTTTTCGTAACACACATTTTCTATGAGCTTTCTGAAGGGCCTTCATACATTCACAAAAGCATTACATCCCAGTGACAAACTTAATAAGATACAAAATCAGTGCTACGGGATTTCCCAAAAGTTTAAAAATAGGGCTGGCTGCTGAAGAAAAAAAATTTAGACAAGATGACAACAGAAGTGGAATAAAGACCTGTCTACAACTTTTGGCCTTCAGTGTGTCACAGATACTGTAACAATGAGATATATTTGTAGAGTGACAGCAAAGAACACATGTAGGTGTGCCCCTTCCTGGATGGGTCCTAAACCATATGGAGACTGACCGCCTGTATTTAAATCCAGGCTCTGCCATTTACTACCTGTGAGCTTAAACAAGGCACCTGACTCCAGTTCCTGTGCCTGTTTCCTCATCTGCAGCATACAGGCAACTGTACCCAGTTCAGGAATGACCTATTTATAAAGTAATTAGAACAGTCTCACACGTGGTAAGTACACAATACCGGTTGTGACTGTCATTATTTAAACAGCCAAGAGCAATTAAACCATATCCCTTTGTTGAGCTGTCTTGCCAACAAACAGGAGGAAAAAAATCTCCTACCCCAGTGCCCACTCAAATGGCGCAAAGAAAGGCTGAACTGGATGAAGGGAGAAGCCACAGCATGTGAACAATTCACTTCTGTCAGATTCCACTTCCTTATCCATGGATTTATAGGACCCAACGGTCAAGTGCAGCCCACTTCTCCACACAGCAGAGACTTAGAGCGATGACAGGCACCTGCTTTCCCAGCGCCACTGTACTTACTAGACACGAGAAATTGAGCGAGTTGTTTAAGCTATCCCAAGTCCAGCTTCCACAACCACAAAACGTGAACAATAACACGCCCTATATAACAGGAATTTTGCCAGCATTTTAGATGACCACGCACACAAAGCGCCTACCACTCAGCCTGTTACATTAATAAACCTCAGTAAAATAAGCGATTATTTTAGTTATAAGGAAAGCCATCCATGTACTTCCCCACAAACTCCAGACAGATCTGTATCGAACGAATCCATGCTGTAAGTGATAACATCTTCAAACACAGTAAGTCTGGTTCTAAGCAAAATAGCGTCAACTATGGACCCCTGGGTTTTCTCGGAATGCCGCTGGAGTCGGAGGCTCTTTCGCGGCGGTTTGTCATCCTGCGGGCGGATCCTCCCGGGCTGGGACCAGCGACTGCACCCAGGGCTCTGCATAAGCCTCCCGGGCCAGCCGCCTCAGCAATCCGCACGCGGCTCCGTCCAGGGGGCGCGTGGGGGAGGGGCCGTGTGCGAGATCCACGCACCGAAGAGGTCGCAGCCGCTCCGGGCAGGCTCTGACGAGGGAACCGCTGGGTCCTGCGCCGCGCTCACCCGAGCCCAGCCCCACCAGCCCCTCTACCTACTTGCTCAGGGTCCGCCTGGGCGCCGCCATCTTGCCCCGCAGTGGCGGCGCTTCCGCCGCCGCCGCCTCTCGGCTTCCGCCCCGCAGCGCGGCGCTGTGTCTGGCGGGCTGGCTGGGAGTCCTCAGGTGTTTGCTGTCCTGCGTTGCGTGCGGCTGAGCGCCAGGATCCGGCTCGCGGGGTCTGGCCGCACTCGGAATACATGTGCTTTGAGGTACAGCCGGCGCAGCTCCAAGAGCTCCTCAGACGTCCGTCCGCGCTCTCCAGCGCGCGTGCCCACGTCTAGAGCGCCTCACCCTAGCACCGATGTGACCTCTCGGTGTGTTCATGGTGACGGTGAAAAAGGCTTCACTGCCAGTGAGCACTGCGGGAATGGTGGTGGTGCGGAGAGAGACGACGGGCGCCTGCGCATCTCGCCTTTGTTCGCGCCCTAAGTGGAAATCTGTCCTCTTGTTCCTGCCATCCCACTCCCAGTCTTTCTATATCTCTTTAAATATATATATATATATATATATATATATATATATATATATATATTTGAAAGGCAGAGAGGGAGAGATCTTCCATCCACTGGTTCACTCCCCCAAGTGGTCACAGCAGCGACCACAGCTGGGCCTATCTGAAGCCAGGGGTCAGGAGCTTCTTCGGGGTCTCCCACGCAGGTGCAGGGACCCAAGCACTTGGGCCATGCTCCACTGCTTTCCCAGGCCAAAGCAGAGAGCTAGATCGAAGTGGAGCAGCCGGGACTGGAACCGGTGCCCATGTGGGATCACCTCAGGTGGCGACTTTACCCGCTATGCTACAGCATCAGCCCCCCAAAGTCTTTCTTTAAAGCCTAGCTGGAGTCAGCCTCAAAACTTTTGCCGGCCATGCCCACTCTCTAAACTGTCCTTGTAGCTGCCTGGAATCTTACCATCTGCACCACTTGTGTGGCATGGGGGGAACGTGCTGCCTATTACCAAGTATTGCTGGTTACTTTTACTTATCTATTTATTTTTTAAAAAGCCTTATTTATTTGAAGGGCAGAATTACAGAGGGAAAGAGAGAGACAAAGAGATCTTCCATTCACCAGTTCACTCCCCAAATGGTCTCAAGGGCCACTTCCTGGGAGCCAGGAGCTCAGAACTCCATGGGGATCTCCCACTTGGGTGACAGGAGCCCAAGTCCTTGGACCATTTTCTGCCACTTTCCCAGACACATTATCAGAGAGCTGGATTGGAAGTGGAGCAGCCAGGACTTGAAACAGTGCCCTATGTGACGCCAGCGTCACAGGCAGCAGCTTACCCTGCTGTGCCACAATCCCGGCCCCACTCTGCCTTTGAAATAAATACATCTTTTTTTTTTAATTTTTTAAACTATTAGATATAACTTCTAATGTTCTGTAGCACAATAGAATAACTGTGGTTGATAAAAATAATTGGATATTTCAAAATAGAATTTCAAATGCATCTAACACAAAGAAATGGTAAATTTCTGAGGTGATTTATCCGCCGATTACCCTGATCTGTTCTGATCATTACACATTCTATGATTTATAGAAATGTCACACTGTATTCAGTTACTAAGTGTCAATTAAAAATGTTACAATGGGCATTTGGTGTGGCTGTTGAGACCCCACTTAACCCTTACTGTAGTGCTTTGTTCTAGTCCTGGCTCTGCTTCTGATCCAGCTCCCTGCTAATGCACTTGGGAAGCAGCAGATAATGGCTCAGGTGCTTGGGTCTCTGTCACGCACGTGGTGGACTCAGATGGCATTTTTGGTTCCTGGCTTCCTGGCCAGCATGGGCTGTTGCAGCCATTTGGGGAGTGAACCAGTAGATGAATGATCTTTCTGTTTTTCTCTCTCTCTCTCTTTCTCTCTGTCACTGTGTCATTCAAATAAATAAATAAATCTTTTTAAAAAAGGATATTTCATTACATTTAGTTGTTGGATCTCCTTAGGCTCCTCTTGGCTGTGACAATTTCTTAGACCTCTTATGTTTGCTTTTTATTTTGTTTTTCTTTTAATTTCCTTTTATTTGAAAAGCAGAGACTTCATCCATCTCCTGGTTCACTTCCTGGTCACATCATCTCACTGGTTCAAAGTTCAAAGCCAGGAGCCAGGAATGCAGTCTAGGTCTCCACATGGGTGGTAGAGACCCAAATACCTGAGCCATCACTGGCTGCCTCACAGGGTGTGCATTAGCAGGAAGCTGGAACTGGGAATGGAGCTGAGACTAGAAGCCGGGCCCTGTCACATGAGATGCAGGTGTCCTTAGCAGTGGCTTAACTGCTGTGCTGAACGCCTGCTCCACCTTTTATGTTTGTGATGACTGTGACATTTTGGAGTAGCACTGGCAGAGTATTTTGTAAAATGTTCCTCAGTTGGGGTTGGCACTGTGGCATAGCAGGTAAAGCCACCACCTGCAGTGCCAGCATCCCAAAGAGGCGCTGGTTCAAGTCCCAACTGCTCCACTTTTGATCCAACTCTCTGCTACAGCCTGGGAAAGCAGTACAAGATGGCCCAGGTCCTTGGGCCCCTGCACCTGTGTGGGAGATCTGGAAGAAGCTCCTGGCTCCTGGCTTCAGATCAGTGCAGCGCCAGCCATTGCAGCCAGTTGGGGAGTGAACCAGTGTGTGGAAGACCTTTCTCTCTCTCTCTCTGCCTCTCCTTCTCTCTGTGTGTAACTCTTTCAGATAAATAAATAAATCTTTTTTAAAAAGTTCTTCAATTGGCATTTGATATTTCTCTTATAATTAGACTAGAATTTTAGTTTTTTAAAAATATTTAATTTGGGGGCCAGCTTCTGGAGTAGCTGGAAAAGCCTCTGCCTGCGACGCCGGCATCTCATGTAAGCACAGCTTTGTGTCCTGGCTGCTCCACTTCTGATCCACTTCCCTACTAATGGCCTGAGAAAATCAGTGGAAGATGGCCCAAGTGTCTCCCTGCCATCTGAATGGGAGACCGGATAAAGCTCCTGGCTCCTGACTTCTGCCTGTCTTCAGTACTTGGCTCCAGCTCCAGACTCCAGCTTTCCTGTTAACGCAGACCCTGGAGGCAGTGGTGATGGCTTTAGTAACTGGGTTCCTTCCATCTTCACTGGGGCCCCCACACTGAGTTCCCAGCCTCCGGCTTCAGCCCTGCTCGGTCCTAGCTGTGGCAGGCATTTGGGGAATGAACCAGCAGATGGGAGCATGCTCTCTTTCTCTCTCTCTCTGCCTCTCAAATAAATACATAAATGTTGGCCGGTGCTGCGGCTCAATAGGCTAATCCTCTGCCTTGTGGCACTGGAACACCGGGTTCTAGTCCCGGTCGGGGCGCCAGATTCTGTCCCGGTTGCCCCTCTTCCAGGCCAGCTCTCTGCTATGGCCCGGGAGTGCAGTGGAGGATAGCCCAGGTACTTGGGCCCTGCACCTGCATGGGAGACCAGGAGAAGCACCTGGCTCTTGGCTTCGGATCAGCGTGATGCGCCAGCTGCAGCATGCCAGCCGCGGCGGCCATTGGAGGGTGAACCAACGGCAAAAAAGGAAGACCTTTCTCTCTGTCTCTCTCTCACTGTCCACTCTGCCTGTCAAATGTAAAAATAAAAAATAAAAAAAAATGTTTTTTAAAGTATAAAACCCAACACTACTTAATTCTATTGCTCGAAAGTTCCCATCTTTCCTGTAACTCTTTGATAGACGTCAGCATTGTATGTTTCGAGCACCTCCTTACTTTCTGGCTCTACAAGACACTTCAAGCTCATCTTGTACATTTCCTGTTCCAGTCCTAGAATCAGCCATTTCCCTAAGCACGCTTGGGTCCTTTTATTGAAGAATGATGTTAGAAACCAAAACCTGGAGCTGGCATTGTGCCACAGCAGGTAAATCCACTGCCTGTGATGCCAACACCCCATATAAGCACAAATTTGAGTCCTGGATGCTCCACTTCCATCTGATCCAGCTCCCTCTAATGGCCTGGGAAAAGCAGTGGAAGATGACCCAAGCGTTTGGGTCCCAACACCCACATGGGAGATCTGGATGAAGCTCCTGGCCCAGCCCTGGCCATTGTGGCCATTTGGGGAATGAACCAGTGAATGGAAGATCTCTCTCTGTGTGTCTCTCTGACTTTCAAATACATAAATGAATCTTAAAAAAAAAAAAGGGGGGAGGGGGTTGGTGCTATGGCATAGCAGGTAAAGCTGTCACCTGCAGTGCTGGCATCCCATATGGGCACCAATTGGAGTCCCAGCTGCTCCACTTCTGATCCAGCTCTCTGCTATTTCGTGGGAAAGCAATAGAGGATGGCCCAAATGAACCCATGTGGGAGATCTTGAAGAAGCTCCAGGCTCCTAGCTTTGGATCTGCCCATTTCCAGCTGTTGTGGCTATTTGGGGAGTAAACCAGTGGATGGAAGACCTCTCTCTCTGTGTTGTGGCAGTGTGAGTTAAGCCATCACTTGGGACATCTGGATATCCACAGCCTGTATCAGAGTGTTTGGGATCAAGTCCTGCCTTAGTTTTTTTTTTTTTTTTTTTTTTTTGGCCAGGCAGAGTTAGACAGTGAGAGAGAGAGATAGAGACAGAGAGAGAGTTATAGACAGTGAGAGACAGAGAGAAAAGTCTTCCTTCCATTGGTTCACCCCCCAAATGGCCGCCATGGCTGGCGAGCTGCGCTGATCAGAAGCCAGGAGCCAGGTGCTTCTCCTGGTCTCCCATGCGGGTGCAGGGCCCAAGCACTTGGGCCATCCTCCACTGCCTTCCTGGGCCACAGCAGAGAGCTGGCCTGGAAGAGGAGCTACCAGGACAGAATCCAGCGCCCCAACTGGGACTAGAACCCGGGGTGCTGGCCCCGCAGGTGGAGGATTACCCTAGTGAGCCGTGGCACCAGCCGTCTTAGTTTCTGATCCAGCATCTGGCTAAGGGCCTGAGAGGCAGCAGACAATGGCCCAAGTACTTGGGTTCTTGCCACCCACGAGGGACACCTGAATGGAGTTCCTGGCTACTGGCTTTCTCTGGCCCAGCTCTAGTTGTTGCAACCATCTAGGGAGTGAAACAACAGATGGCTGATAGACCATCTCTCTCTCATTCTGCCTTTCAAATAAATACATCTTAGAAAAAAAAGTTTCAATGACAAGAGCACAATGGGCCGCACAGTGGCTAAGACAGACATGGAAGCAGTGTGATGGGTATGTTGGGATTCATTATACTCCTCTGTGTGTGTGTGTGTGGGTGAAACAGTCCATAGAGAGGGCGAAATAGAGAGATGCAGTCAGCCAGATGCAAGGTGTTAACACACACTCAGCCTCACTCACGAAGCTCTTCCTGTCGGCGTGATCCTCGGGTGAGGCG